GAAAAAAAATTGGAAAATCTTACTGCAACCATACTCTGTCCCATTTTCAGTTATTTGGATGCTTAAATTTCCAAGGAGGGCCGAAATTTACAGTTTCGGCCGAATTTCTGACCTGCAACCAATTTAATCAGTCAACTATAGATGCCAAATGAACACTAATCGAGGTGCTAAAAGTTTTGATTTGGGTCGAGGAAGCTCACAGTAGAAATCTTAACAAACCGAAAAGTTTATTTTTTAAAACCTTCCATTATTCAGATAAGAAAATTTTCTGAACTCACATTTTTTTTTTTTTTTTTTTTATTATTTTATTTTTTTGGACAGATTGTATGAAATTTTTTGTCCACAAAACCAATATACGGATAATTATGATGGTATGAAACCAAAATTGGGGTAACTGGAAGTCAAAATCTCGAAAAAAATGGAAAATCTTACTGCAACCATACTCTGTCCCATTTTCAGTATTTTGGATCTGAAATTTCCAGGGCAGAAAAAGTTAACAGTTACGCCGAATTTCCTGACCTTCAAACCAATTTAATCATTCAACTATAGATGCCAAATGACAACTATCGAGGTTCCAAAAAGTTTTGATTTGGTTGAGGAAGCTCACAGGGAAAACATAAAAAACTACAAGTTGTATTTTTAAACTCTGACCATATTCAGATATGAAAATTTCTTTCCCCCCCCCCGCAAATTTGTTCCCCCCCGCTACATTGTTAACCCCCCCGCTACAGGGTTAAACCCCCCGACATTTTTTAAAAAACCCTCCCCCCCCTTTTTTTTCCCCCCTTTCCCCCCCTACTTTTTAAACCCCGCTTAAGGGTTTTTAACCCCCCCCCCCCGCACTTGTTACCCCCGCTACATGTTACCCCCAATTAACCCCCTCCCCCCGCTACATTGTTACCCCCGCTACATTGTTAACCCCCCGCTACATGGTTAACCCCCCGCTACATTGTTAAACCCTCCCCCCGCTACATTGTTACCCCCTCCCCCCGCTACATGGTTAACCCCCCGCTACATTGTTAACCCCCCCGCTACATTGTTACCCCCCTCCCCCCCGCTACATTGTTACCCCCTCCCCCCCGGCTACATTGTTACCCCCTCCCCCCGCTACATTGTTAACCCCCGCTAAATTGTTAACCCCGCTACATTGTTACCCCCCCCCCGCTACATTGTTAACCCCCACTACATGGTTACCCCCTCCCCCCGCTACAACCTATTTAACATACCCTATTATAAAAATGGGGTGCCAACAAATTCCATTCGTCTGCATTATTATAATTAATAAACCGCAAAATATCCGTCACAAGTTGACAGTGCTAATAAGATCAGTAGGTTACTGGGGGATATAGTGTATAGTATTCGCCATTTGCTGTGCAGAATCAGGCTCAAACGTGTCATACTGGAGCGAGTACTTGTTAAAATGTAGTACGTAGTACGTAGCATTTCAAGCAAACGTATTTGTCGCCGAAAATTCGCGTATTTCGATTTCCACTGTAGAGTAAGAATTTTTATTTATTTATTTAACGCTCAGAAAATTCAACGGATTCAAAATGCGCGGCGATAATTCGATCTGCGCACGTATTTCGGACAAATTTTAGACGTACTCCGGACAAAATTTAACAGGGTCTAAATTCAATTTTTTTCGGGCTTATTGATTGGAAACTTCACGAATTCTTACGTATTTCTCTCGAACATTGAATACGCCGTATTTTGAGCCGATTTTTTGACGTATTTAACAACGATGAGTAGTATACCTAGCACCCACATGGGCACATATTAGGTGCGATGGGTGCGGGATCGCACAATTTACCGTTTTCCGCACACTTTCGCATAATTTATTGTTTTCCGCACATTTTCGCACATTTTGTAATTATCTGCATATTTCCGCATAATCTAGCATTTTCCGCGTAATTTCGCATAATTTTGAAATTTTCGCGTTAAGATTTTCGAGTGTAAAAACCAAAATATGTTAAAAGTCGGGCCCTTTTAGGACCGTGACTCAGGCCCTTTCGGGACCCTGACCCAGGCCCTTTCGGGACCGTGACCCAGGCCCTTTTGGAACTCATATTTAGGCCACGTGACCCAGTTACCACGTGACTCAGGCCCTTTCGGGACCATGACCCAGGCCCTTTCGGGACCCTGACCCAGGCTCTTTCGGGACCGTGATCCAGGCCCTTTTGGAACTCATGCTTAGGTCACGTGACCCGGTTACCACGTGACCCAGGCCCTTTCGGGACCCTGACCCAGGCCCTTTCGGGACCGTGACCCAGGCCCTTTTGGAACTCATGCTTAGGTCACGTGACCCGGTTACCACGTGACCGAGGCCCTTTCGGGACCCTGACCCAGGCCCTTTCGGGACCTTGACCCAGGCCCTTTCGGGACCCTGACCCAGGCCCTTTCGGGACCCTGACCCAGGCCCTTTCGGGACCGTGACCCAGGCCCTTTTGGAACTCATGCTTAGGCCACGTGACTCAGGCCCTTTCGGGACCGTGACCCAGGCCCTTTCGGGACCGTTACCCAGGCCCTTTCGGGACCGTGATCCATGAGGCCTTTTCGGGACCGTGACCCAGGCCATTATGGAACCCTCGTCGTTACTGTACTTCGATTATAGTGTATCAGTTATCATTCGTAGGTGATAATAGAAGAAGTAGGTGTAAAGGGTAATGAGCTTTATTCGTTGTAGCGTTGGCTTTATAGTGGGCTTAATGGATCTTGGATTAAATGGTTCACAAGTACTGACGATCAATGCCAACTTGAAGCGTGTCACATATTTGCGATCACGCATGGGATCTGATCGACTCTATCAAGAGGCGTCTTCAAATAACTGTATCCTGATTCCTGATCTCTACCAGATCAAGTAACTGTTCTCAGATAACTGAATCTCGATATAGGTTCAATCATGGTCTTAGTAAAGAACTACACCCTCAGTAACACATAAACAGACCTATTTTTGATAATAGCGGCGGTTATACGTTTAGAATTTCCAAAGTCCTTGAGAAAATGCAAAAAAAACCCGCACAATTCCCGCACAAATTTCGAAAAAATCGCCGCACATTTGCCGCATAATTGGTAAAAAATTACCGCACCTTACCGCACATTTTACCTTTATAGTCGGGTGCGGTACCGCATAATTCCGATTTTTTTACCGCACCTAATATGTGCCTCTGAGCACCCAACCCCACGGCTATGGGTATTGGGTAGTAGTATACCTAGCACCCCCCCCCCCGGCTATTAACATTGTTAAACATCTCCCTCCGATAAGCTGATACTGATAAGCGGAAGAGAGGGCCTGTGTGTGCCCCTCTGTTTCACAACAATAGGGTACACTCCCAGTTACACACCGATACAAAGCAGTAGTAACTAGTAGTTAAGGTAGTGTAACTAGTAGTATTAGGGTAGTGTAACTATACTACTAGTAACACAGTAGTAACACTCAGGTCCTGGGACAGCGGAAACCTTGTAGTAGCCTTCTAACAACTCTAGTAGCCTTGCAAATACTCACTTTTTGTGGAAAATTCCAGATTTTATAGAGAAAATAACAACTGACTAGTAGGATTACTGAGTCGCTATGTTTAGTATACTACTACTACTACTACTACTACTACTACTACTACTACTACTACTACTAATACTACTACTACTACTACTACTACTGTTTGTGTTTAGTAGGGTATACTATACCTTATCGGACCTTATTTGGACGGACATTACTTGAACGCTGGAGGCCCTAGCGTTCATCTTAATGTCCGTTCAAATAAAGTCCGTTCAATTAATGTCCGTCCAAGTTAAAGTCCGTTGAAATTTTTTCAAAAATTTTTCCATTTCGAACTTTTTGTCCAGAATATGACAACTTTGAGAACTTGATTGTGCCGTAAGTTAACGATGGAAAGGTTCTCCTTGGTCTGCCGGAGGCACAGAAAATTCTACTAGTATATGATGTTTTCAAGGGTTACTTGGCGGAAAAAAGTCAACGAAATTATGGCACTCAACAATATAGTTCATGAACTAGTCCCCGCCAACATGACAAACTTGTTCCAGCCTCTAGATATTACGGTAAAATCGTGTTTCCAAGGACATTGTCCGACGTTGTTATATTATAGTTCATATTACTCAGGGGAGGTAATGGAACAGTGCTAGGAAAGCTCCACGTGATGTTAAGGTTAACCTTAAGTTGTCTAAGATAAAACCACTTCACGCCGAATGGTTTGTAAAAGTTAACACTGAAATGCAAGACCGGGGTAGTTTGATAAAAAAGGTTTCCATATAGCTAGAAATCACTGATGCTTTAAGCATGGACTATTTCATGCACGAAAACCCATTTGATGAAGATGATATGTGATATTAGACACTGATCATGTACACATATTTTAACATTTTTACTGCTCAATGACTGCTTTTCTTACTTACTGTAGAAAAAATGGATTTAAAAATCATTTGCTGAAATTTAAAAACGTCAAAAAATTGAAAAAAATTCGGATTTTTGATGGTTTTGAATGCCTTCGAGCGTTCATATTAATGTCCGTTCATAATTATGTCCGTTCATGTAATGTCCGTCCAAATAAGGTCCGATAAGGTATCTACTATATAATTCGAAAGATTATTTCTGTGACCTGTATGTACGACCTCCCACGTGCAAATTAGGTAAACAAATTAGGTAAAAAGCAAGGGTTGCATAATATTAACAACCATGGTAACGGTGATGAACGCGCACGTGCACGACGCACGTGCAAAGATTTTCGAGCGACGTTGAATATATTCCTTTTGTAACATCCTCAATAAATGTAATAGATTTGCAGTGTTGCAATTTTTTACAACTTTATAGTATGAGAATTAGTGTTTTAGGTGATTTGATGTATGTGCGTATGTTTTGCCATAATGAAACTGAATTGTGGAAGTATAACCAAAGTGAACAGAAGATGAAAGTGAAACCAAGAGATAACTTGAAACGGAAAGTGAAAGTAAAACTAACCGATCGGACGGAGCAGCTAGGTTTGAAAGCTTCAGTACCGCAGATAAAGAGATCCTGGTTTCTCAGTTTTAAAATAACCTTAAAATAGTTCTGGCAGTCGTCCTGAAAATAACTAAGCTAGTTCATTTTAGTGTTACAGTACTGTTATTAATGTGACAGTACTGTTATTAATGTGACAGTACTGTTATTAATGTTACAGTACCCCCACAGTTACTCACTACCTTGCTAGCTGTCTTGTTCCTGGCACTACGATTAGCAGGGCAGGAATTACACAGGTTGTGTTTTGAGTTTTATAAATTTACAGAACGGATTACCTGCCCTGCTAATTATTCAGTGGGAATAATTCAGAAGTATATAAAGGAGGACATGGCAATATAAATTAGAGAAATAGAGTACCTACTACGTAGCTAGCAGTATATATACCTAATATAAATTAGAGATGGTCAGTAATTTGGTGGGGGGAGCATTAGCCTCCTCAGGTCCATGCTGACTACATTAGCCTCCTCAGGTCCATGCTGACTATATATTAAACTATATATTCAATATAATATTATATATTTAATATATTGCTAATTTAATCCTTGCTAATTTAATCGCAGAATGGTTCATATCCTAATGTAAGTAGTGTAAAATTATAGTATTATAGTGTATAAGGTTTTACCTGATTCTGTCCGTACGAGTTGGTACACACATCGAAATTAGCGGGTGGAACGGTCTGAAAATAATAACAAATTAGATAATTAGGTAATTGGATGGAACTTTACTGGTAATCACTCAAAACCACATAATTACACTTAAAACCGGGTATCAATGTGTCACGTGATATTGACTACTAGTAATATTACCAGTGTATAATTGTGTATAATTATGTTTAATTTGCTATGTGTAACAATTACAAGTCGGAATGGCGAAAAACCTGCTGTTTCTAAATTTAAACGCTAAGGATTAGTGCCCCTAAACGGATTTAAACGGATTTGTGAATATATAATAATGGGTATTGAGTTAATCACATCAGTAGGGCGAATATTACCCAGTATCAGGTTACTATGGTTACCGGCTTTGTAATTACCACGCTTCATTGTAATCACGATAATATCAATAATATCTTCTGATTGGTCTGTGTCATCTGGACCTTATCCAGTTTGCACGCTGCTTTACCAAAACACAACAGTAACTAACTAGTAACTAACTAGTAACTAACTAGTAACTAACTAGTAACGAACTAGTAACTAACTAGTAACTAACTAGTAATAATTTCACAGTAACCATATTCCACTTGCGAAGTAAGGCTTGCCACAATGGCTAAATGACGTTATCACCAGCTAAACAACGTCATCACTAATAAGCAGACTGTCATAACTGAGTTCCCGGTTGTGTGTTGCTACTAAAATAATGGTTCTAGTAAAACTGGAACTTTGATTAGTTTATATAACTCCCTACTTTATAACTCCCTGGTTTTAAGTGGTTCCTCACACAATTATATAGATATCTGGTATAGTGATTTTTTATTCGTCTCAGTTCTCAAATTATGAGGTTAGTAATTTTTTAAATTGTTAAATTTGGATAAGGTGATGTTAGAAATGTTTTAACTGTGGAGTGATGTTAGAAATGTTGTGGTACACTCTGGTGCTGTCATAGTGCTCACGTGATGCCCATATAAGGGCATATAAGGTAGTACTCACATTAAACAAGCCATATTATTCCTTATACGGTAAAACCATCAAAATATTAACTTTAAGCTTTCAGACGGTGCAGTTTACAGTGGGAGCATTTCATTGGTTGTCATAGTCACGCGACAAAGGTAATCTAACGTGATTGGTTACACGGAAACTTGGATAAGTATATATAGTGTATAACTCTATAAAGTATAACTCTATAAAGTATAACTCTATAAAAACAATCGTTGAAAAGTTTCTTTTTCTTCGTCGCTCCTAATCTGACAATTTAAAAATTATCTCATTACAAAAAGGTCCTCTTAGTATTATACTCCTTCATAAAGATGATCAGATTGTGATGAGTACTGATGGTTACATGATTAGAAAAGTATAGGTCTACAGTGGTGCAGGTCTACAGTGGTGCAGGTCTACAGTGGTACAGGTCTACAGTGGTGCAGGTCTACAGTGGTGCAGGTACAGGTCTACAGTGGTGCAGGTCTACAGTGGTGCAGGTCTACAGTGGTACAGTTCTACAGTGGTGCAGGTCTACAGTGGTGCAGGTCAACAGTGGTGCAGGTCTACAGTGGTGCAGGTCTACAGTGGTACAGGTCTACAGTGGTGCAGGTCTACAGTGGTGCAGGTCTACAGTGGTGCAGGTCTACAGTGGTGCAGGTCTACAGTGGTGCAGGTCTACAGTGGTGCAGGTCTACAGTGGTGCAGGTCTACAGTGGTGCAGGGACAGGTCTACAGTGGTGCAGGTCTACAGTGGTGCAGGTCTACAGTGGTGCAGGGACAGTGGTGCAGGTCTACAGTGGTGCAGGTCTACAGTGGTGCAGGTCTACAGTGGTACAGGTCTACAGTGGTGCAGGTCTACAGTGGTGCAGGGACAGTGGTGCAGGTCTACAGTGGTGCAGGTACAGTATAGGTCTACAGTGGTGCAGGTCTACAGTGGTACAGGTCTACAGTGGTGCAGGTCTACAGTGGTGCAGGTCTACAGTGGTGCAGGTCTACAGTGGTGCAGGTCTACAGTGGTGCAGGTCTACAGTGGTGCAGGTCTACAGTGGTGCAGGTCTACAGTGGTGCAGGTCTACAGTGGTGCAGGTCTACAGTGGTGCAGGTCTACAGTGGTGCAGGTCTACAGTGGTGCAGGTCTACAGTGGTGCAGGTCTACAGTGGTGCAGGTCTACAGTGGTGCAGGTCTACAGTGGTGCAGGGACAGTGGTGCAGGTATACAGTGGTGCAGGTCTACAGTGGTGCAGGTCTACAGTGGTGCAGGTCTACAGTGGTGCAGGTCTACAGTGGAGCAGGTCTACAGTGGTGCAGGTCTACAGTGGTGCAGGTCTACAGTGGTGCAGGTCTACAGTGGTGCAGGTCTACAGTGGTGCAGGTCTACAGTGGTGCAGGTCTACAGTGGTGCAGGTCTACAGTGGTGCAGGTCTACAGTGGTGCAGGTCTACAGTGGTGCAGGTCTACAGTGGTGCAGGTCTACAGTGGTGCAGGTCTACAGTGGTGCAGGTCTACAGTGGTGCAGGTCTACAGTGGTGCAGGTCTACAGTGGTGCAGGGACAGTGGTGCAGGTCTACAGTGGTGCAGGTCTACAGTGGTGCAGGTCTACAGTGGTGCAGGTCTACAGTGGTGCAGGTCTATAGTGGTGCAGGTCTACAGTGGTACAGGTCTACAGTGGTGCAGGTCTACAGTGGTGCAGGTCTATAGTGGTGCAGGTCTACAGTGGTGCAGGTCTACAGTGGTGCAGGTCTACAGTGGTGCAGGTCTACAGTGGTGCAGGTCTACAGTGGTGCAGGTCTACAGTGGTGCAGGTCTATAGTGGTGCAGGTCTACAGTGGTGCAGGTCTACAGTGGTGCAGGTCTATAGTGGTGCAGGTCTACAGTGGTGCAGGTCTACAGTGGTGCAGGTCTACAGTGGTGCAGGTCTACAGTGGTGCAGGGACAGTGGTGCAGGTCTACAGTGGTGCAGGTCTACAGTGGTACAGGTCTACAGTGGTGCAGGTCTACAGTGGTGCAGGTCTATAGTGGTGCAGGTCTACAGTGGTGCAGGTCTATAGTGGTGCAGGTCTACAGTGGTGCAGGTCTACAGTGGTACAGGTCTACAGTGGTGCAGGTCTACAGTGGTGCAGGTCTACAGTGGTGCAGGGACAGTGGTGCAGGTATACAGTGGTGCAGGTCTACAGTGGTGCAGGTCTACAGTGGTGCAGGTCTATAGTGGTGCAGGTCTACAGTGGTACAGGTCTACAGTGGTGCAGGTCTACAGTGGTGCAGGTCTACAGTGGTGCAGGGACAGTGGTGCAGGTATACAGTGGTGCAGGTCTACAGTGGTGCAGGTCTACAGTGGTGCAGGTCTACAGTGGTGCAGGTCTACAGTGGTGCAGGTCTACAGTGGTGCAGGTCTACAGTGGTGCAGGTCTACAGTGGTGCAGGTCTACAGTGGTGCAGGGACAGTGGTGCAGGGACAGTGGTGCAGGTCTACAGTGGTGCAGGTCTACAGTGGTGCAGGTCTACAGTGGTGCAGGTCTACAGTGGTGCAGGTCTACAGTGGTACAGGTCTACAGTGGTGCAGGTCTACAGTGGTGCAGGTCTACAGTGGTACAGGTCTACAGTGGTGCAGGTCTACAGTGGTGCAGGGACAGTGGTGCAGGTATACAGTGGTGCAGGTCTACAGTGGTGCAGGTCTACAGTGGTGCAGGTCTACAGTGGTGCAGGTCTACAGTGGTGCAGGTCTACAGTGGTGCAGGTCTACAGTGGTGCAGGTCTACAGTGGTGCAGGTCTACAGTGGTGCAGGTCTACAGTGGTGCAGGTCTACAGTGGTGCAGGTCTACAGTGGTACAGGTCTACAGTGGTGCAGGTCTACAGTGGTGCAGGTCTACAGTGGTGCAGGTCTACAGTGGTGCAGGTCTACAGTGGTGCAGGTCTACAGTGGTGCAGGGACAGTGGTGCAGGTCTACAGTGGTGCAGGTCTACAGTGGTGCAGGTCTACAGTGGTGCAGGTCTACAGTGGTGCAGGTCTACAGTGGTGCAGGTCTACAGTGGTGCAGGTCTACAGTGGTGCAGGTCTACAGTGGTGCAGGTCTACAGTGGTACAGGTCTACAGTGGTGCAGGTCTACAGTGGTGCAGGTCTACAGTGGTGCAGGTCTACAGTGGTGCAGGTCTACAGTGGTGCAGGTCTACAGTGGTGCAGGGACAGTGGTGCAGGTCTACAGTGGTGCAGGTCTACAGTGGTGCAGGTCTACAGTGGTGCAGGTCTACAGTGGTGCAGGTCTACAGTGGTGCAGGTCTACAGTGGTGCAGGTCTACAGTGGTGCAGGTCTACAGTGGTGCAGGTCTACAGTGGTACAGGTCTACAGTGGTGCAGGTCTACAGTGGTGCAGGTCTACAGTGGTACAGGTCTACAGTGGTGCAGGTCTACAGTGGTGCAGGGACAGTGGTGCAGGTATACAGTGGTGCAGGTCTACAGTGGTGCAGGTCTACAGTGGTGCAGGTCTACAGTGGTGCAGGTCTACAGTGGTGCAGGTCTACAGTGGTGCAGGTCTACAGTGGTGCAGGTCTACAGTGGTGCAGGTCTACAGTGGTGCAGGTCTACAGTGGTGCAGGTCTACAGTGGTGCAGGTCTACAGTGGTACAGGTCTACAGTGGTGCAGGTCTACAGTGGTGCAGGTCTACAGTGGTGCAGGTCTACAGTGGTGCAGGTCTACAGTGGTGCAGGTCTACAGTGGTGCAGGGACAGTGGTGCAGGTCTACAGTGGTGCAGGTCTACAGTGGTGCAGGTCTACAGTGGTGCAGGTCTACAGTGGTGCAGGTCTACAGTGGTGCAGGTCTACAGTGGTGCAGGTCTACAGTGGTGCAGGTCTACAGTGGTGCAGGTCTACAGTGGTGCAGGTCTACAGTGGTGCAGGGACAGTGGTGCAGGTCTACAGTGGTGCAGGTCTACAGTGGTACAGGTCTACAGTGGTGCAGGTCTACAGTGGTGCAGGTCTACAGTGGTGCAGGTCTACAGTGGTGCAGGTCTACAGTGGTGCAGGTCTACAGTGGTGCAGGGACAGTGGTGCAGGTCTACAGTGGTGCAGGTCTACAGTGGTGCAGGTCTACAGTGGTGCAGGTCTACAGTGGTGCAGGTCTACAGTGGTGCAGGTCTACAGTGGTGCAGGTCTACAGTGGTGCAGGTCTACAGTGGTGCAGGTCTACAGTGGTGCAGGTCTACAGTGGTGCAGGTCTACAGTGGTGCAGGTCTACAGTGGTGCAGGTCTACAGTGGTGCAGGTCTACAGTGGTGCAGGTCTACAGTGGTGCAGGTCTACAGTGGTGCAGGTCTACAGTGGTGCAGGTCTACAGTGGTACAGGTCTACAGTGGTGCAAGTGCAGGGGTACTATACAGGGACAGGGGGCACGGGGGGCTAACTTTGTTACATACAGTAAATACAGGGTGTACGTCTGGACTCTGGAAACATTTCAAATAGAGTTAACCCCATGTAGCAGCTTGTTCACATAAACCAGACTACCAAACCAGTTGTTTACTGACTACTACTACCTTATATGGGCATCACGTGCTAATTATTACATAACACAGTTTGGGGGGACTAATTTGACCAAAAGTTGTCGAATAAATGGGATTTTCATCATTTTTCGGCTAAATAGAAAAAAAACGAAAAACAAATGTTTCTCATAAAATTTTCATTTAGCTCTACTTACTAATTAAAGAACGGCAAACACAATGGTTATCTTTATTTTCATCATCACTCAAGTTCACTGTAGTAGTTACGTTCTATGGGCATCACGTTACTACTACAGTTCACCTTATATGAGCATCACGTGACTACTACAGTTCACCTTGTATGGGCATCACGTGACTACTACAGTTCACCTTATATGGGCATCACGTGACTACTACAGTTCACCTTATATGGGCATCACGTGACTACTACAGTTCACCTTATATGAGCATCACGTGACTACTACAGTTCACCTTATATGAGCATCACGTGACTACTACAGTTCACCTTATATGGGCATCACGTGACTACTACAGTTCACCTTATATGGGCATCACGTGACTACTACAGTTCACCTTATATGGGCATCACGTGACTACTACAGTTCACCTTATATGGGCATCACGTGACTACTACAGTTCACCTTATATGGGCATCACGTGACTACTACAGTTCACCTTATATGAGCATCACGTGACTACTACAGTTCACCTTATATGGGCATCACGTGACTACTACAGTTCACCTTATATGGGCATCACGTGACTACTACAGTTCACCTTATATGGGCATCACGTGACTACTACAGTTCACCTTATATGGGCATCACGTGACTACTACAGTTCACCTTATATGGGCATCACGTGACTACTACAGTTCACCTTATATGGGCATCACGTGACTACTACAGTTCACCTTATATGGGCATCACGTGACTACTACAGTTCACCTTATATGGGCATCACGTGACTACTACAGTTGTAGCTGTTATAGTTGTAGCTGTTATAGTTTGAGTAAGAATTAAACAATTTCCACCCTTAAATAAAATGGATAAACCTCTCAATTCCCGCTAAAATCAAAAGATATATTTTGTGGTGAACTTGAGCCGTGTAAATGTGAGGACAGAAGAATTACGCAGCTTAATTAAGAGAGAGGGTACTAGAGAGGGAGCTGCTAGCTGGTTACATAAGGGAAGTTGGTCGTTTAGCTCCGGACAGCACGGTCCCTTTTTTGTAATAACAGCTCCTCAACTTCACATTACCAAAACGGCTACTAACCGGCACTTAAAAAGTGGTCACTAGCCGGCTACTAACCGGCTACTAACCGGCTAGTAGCCACCAAGTGGCTACTAACTCAGCTAATAGCCGGCTAGTGACCGCCTAGTAGCCGGTTAGTAGCCACTTGGTGGCTACTAGCCGGTTAGTAGCCGGCTAGTGACCGCTTTTCAAGTGCCGGCTAGTAGCCGGTTTGGGACCTAGAGAAAGTAGGTCTGCTTTAGAGCTCAGCTTATAGCCGGCTAGTGACCGCCTAGTATGTTCGCAGTATGTTAGTTACAACTTAAATCCGGTAATCAGAAGTCAGTGCAGTATACAATAAACAATGTATATAAACCAATCAATCAGAGCACAATATTAACACCACGTGACATAAACCAATCAATCAGAGCACAATATTAACACCACGTGACATAAACCAACCAATCAGAGCACAGTATTCACACCACGTGACACAAACCAACCAATCAGAGCACAGTATTCACACCACGTGACATAAACCAACCAATAAGAGCACAGTATTCACACCACGTGACACAAACCAACCAATCAGAACACAGTATTCACACCACGTGACACAAACCAACCAAAAAGAGCACAGTATTCACACCACGTGACACAAACCAACCAATCAGAGCACAGTATTCACACCACGTGACACAAACCAACCAATCAGAACACAGTATTCACACCACGTGACACAAACCAACCAAAAAGAGCACAGTATTCACACCACGTGACACAAACCAACCAATCAGAGCACAGTATTCACACCACGTGACACAAACCAACCAATCAGAACACAGTATTCACACCACGTGACACAAACCAACCAATCAGAGCACAGTATTCACACCACGTGACACAAACCAACCAATCAGAGCACAGTATTCACACCACGTGACACAAACCAACCAATCAGAGCACAGTATCCACACCACGTGACACAAACCAACCAATCAGAACACAGTATCCACACCACGTGACACAAACCAACCAATCAGAACACAGTATCCACACCACGTGACACAAACCAACCAATCAGAGCACAGTATCCACACCACGTGACACAAACCAACCAATCAGAGCACAGTATCCACACCACGTGACACAAACCAACCAATCAGAACACAGTATCCACACCACGTGACACAAACCAACCAATCAGAGCACAGTATCCACACCACGTGACACAAACCAACCAATCAGAGCACAGTATCCACACCACGTGACACAAACCAACCAATCAGAGCACAGTATCCACACCACGTGACACAAACCAACCAATCAGAACACAGTATCCACACCACGTGACACAAACCAACCAATCAGAGCACAGTATCCACACCACGTGACACAAACCAACCAATCAGAACACAGTATCCACACCACGTGACACAAACCAACCAATCAGAACACAGTATCCACACCACGTGACACAAACCAACCAATCAGAGCACAGTATCCACACCACGTGACACAAACCAACCAATCAGAACACAGTATCCACACCACGTGACACAAACCAACCAATCAGAACACAGTATCCACACCACGTGACACAAACCAACCAATCAGAGCACAGTATCCACACCACGTGACACAAACCAACCAATCAGAACACAGTATCCACACCACGTGACACAAACCAACCAATCAGAACACAGTATCCACACCACGTGACACAAACCAACCAATCAGAACACAGTATCCACACCACGTGACACAAACCAACCAATCAGAGCACAGTATCCACACCACGTGACACAAACCAACCAATCAGAGCACAGTATTCACACCACGTGACACAAACCAACCAATCAGAGCACAGTATCCACACCACGTGACATTAACCAACCAATCAGAGCACAGTATTCACACCACGTGACACAAACCAACCAATCAGAGCACAGTATCCACACCACGTGACACAAACCAACCAATCAGAACACAGTATCCACACCACGTGACACAAACCAACCAATCAGAACACAGTATCCACACCACGTGACACAAACCAACCAATCAGAGCACAGTATCCACACCACGTGACACAAACCAACCAATCAGAACACAGTATCCACACCACGTGACACAAACCAACCAATCAGAACACAGTATCCACACCACGTGACACAAACCAACCAATCAGAGCACAGTATCCACACCACGTGACACAAACCAACCAATCAGAACACAGTATCCACACCACGTGACACAAACCAACCAATCAGAACACAGTATCCACACCACGTGACATTACCCGAGCCCCGTGCGTGATCATCACGCAGCTTTCTGAGTGGTTAATATATTATAACTACTAACTACTGTACTAATATATATTATATAAGAAAGCTGCGTGATGTTATATATAATTATAACTTGGCAATGTTAAAATTGATAAAATTACAACCTGACACTCTTTTAGGAGACTATTAAATTGTTAAACGAAATCCTACAAATGTTGTTTAAGGGGGCCGGGGGGGGGGGGGCCTTAACTCACCCTGCAGGATTACACAGTACCTAGTAACTTAGCTAATTATTTCTAACAACTTCACTACTCCTGCTTCCACCCCCAGGGAGAAAGAGTGTTTAATTAGTGAATAATTAGTAGGTGATTCTAATGAACCAATGAGAGCTGAGTAAACCCACCTCGTCTGGGAAATAGCCGACTGTTTCCTGCGTGAAGTCCAGGTAGTAGAGTGCGTTCCTGAAATGGTGTTACTATGGTAACTAGTTGTGTAACTATGGTAACTAGTTCCTGAAATGGGAACATATTACCTCACACCATACATTAGAAGGGGGGTCAAGGTTCCTGAAATGGGAACATATTACCTCACACCATACACTAGTATAGAAGGGGGGGGGGGGGTCAAGGTTCCTGAAATGGGAACATATTACCTCACACCATACACTAGTATAGAAGGGGGGGGGGGGGGGGTCAAGGTCCCTGAAATGGGAACATATTACCTCACACCATACACTAGTATAGAAGGGGGGGGGGGGGGGGTCAAGGTCCCTGAAATGGGAACATATTACCTCACACCATACACTAGTATAGAAGGGGGGGTCAAGGTTCCTGAAATGGGAACATATTACCTCACACCATACACTAGTATAGAAGGGGGGGTCAAGGTTCCTGAAATGGGAACATATTACCTCACACCATACACTAGTATAGAAGGGGGGGGGGGGGGGGGGGGGGGGGGGGTCAAGGTCCCTGAAGGAGTTGTAATGTTATCCTGCATTTAGTATTGCTAGATAAGCTCCACACATTATAACAATGTATTGTAGAAATGTTACCCTCCACAAAACCCATTCATACGAAACTAGTGGGATTTAAAGAGGGAGCTGCATGGGATTTAATAAATGTGTTATAATGTGATATAATGTATTATATATACTGTGTTAATATACGTATCCAGTATCTTATAGCGATGGATTTCACTTGAAATAAGAAAGGGGGAGCCAGTATTAGTAGTACGATAATATGTATAAGTTATTTCTAATAGTAGTAGTATATATTATAGTTATTTGTAATAACTATTATACTGTAGATTATATTAATTGCCATTGCTTGCTACTGATAGCAAGTGATGTGTATTAAAGTAAGGTGTAATATATGATCTACATGATCCTTTCCTGCACCTATTTCATGAAATATACCTCTATTAGAATTCAAGTCGATTAGAATACGATACGATGTTATTTTATCATTATAAAAATGTCGATAAATAAACCTATGTGTATCAGTATTACATTATGTATTTTGCCAGTAAAGAGCAAAAAGAGTTATAATATTTGTTGTAACGAAATTAACCTAATTTTTACCATGCGATGTTTAAATTGTACCACTGTTAATATATTACTGGTGGGTGGTTGTAACAGTGCTTAAGCTGGTATTATTTGTTCAGATATCATCAAGAGTCTGTGACAAAGTAAACTTGTTTGCGCCTTCTGTGTTTTATTTGCTTATAACTATGTGATATGTTTACAATTCTCAACACATCCAAGTCATCAAATGATGCTACACTACTCAGCATTCCTTGTCAGGGTGCCCTAAACATTCCTCATATATTTTTCTTAAATATGTGACAGAATTAACCAGGGGGCACCAGTTATATGTTATAATGTAAGTAATGGTATCCATTCCATCAGCCGGCAGCAAAGGATCCATATTCAATATTCACAGTGTCACATAGTGTCACATAGTGTCATATATTCCATATTCACAGTGTCACGATGTAAACATTTCCATTATGACGTGACTAAATTTGCCTAGAGGATGAGATGAATATCCTAACAATCAAGGGTTTATACAATTTTTAGAGTGACAATTTTAGTGGTACACTGTACACTGTACAGTGGGGGGGGGGGGGGGGGGGTACAGTGTACCACTACTCACAGTGTACAGTGTACCACTACTCACTAAATATATATTTATTAAACCAAACAGTATATCATTACCAGTCTGCAAACAGGATGTCACATTGGCACCTTCTGCAGGTCTGGTGTTACCAAATAACAGTAGCTAATAATAGTGAGGTATCACACATAACAAAGTAATGGGGTAGGAATACAAATCTAAAATCTTAAGTTACAACAGTAACTGTTAAAATAATAACAATATCATAAGATTAATATAATTTACTAAAAAGAAAAAGAAAGATTTTGAGAATAATTATTTTGTTTACAGTCCCCTTGTTGAAGCTTGGGCCACTTTGCGCTCGTTGTTGCGCGAGAAGACTCGAAGAAACTAAAGTGTTACTGTTACTGTTAGCAAATACAAAATGAACTGGTACAAGATAGCGTCACATATTCAATATTCGCAAGATAGCGCTAGTGAGGTAGCGAGATTATCAAATATTTATATAATATATAGAGTACTTACTTAGCTCCTACAACCAGCTTCCCGTCCACCATGATTACAGAACTGAAGTTAGCTCCAGGTTGGCTGAAGAACTTACACTGAGGGCAATCTGAAGTGATTGGTGTTAGTCGTTAGAAATAGGAGCTTTATTATAATCAATATCTAAAATAATCCCTCCCCCCTCCCTCCCTCCCTCCCTCCCTCCCTCCCTCCCTCCCTCCCTCCCTCCCTCCCTCCCTCCCTCCCTCCCTCCCTCCCTCCCTCCCTCCCTCCCTCCCTCCCTCCCTCCCTCCCTCCCTCCCTCCCTCCCTCCCTCCCTTCCTCCCTCCCTCCCTCCCTATAAGTACTAACTATTTTGCAAATGTTGTTAATGTCTAGGTTCGAGGCTGAGTGAGGGATTAAATTAAACTAATTGAGACGTGATTATTACAAACTAGTGTGTGCCTACTTCACTTATTGCAAATACCTAACACTGACTATATACACTCTGTTTATAACACTACTACTAACACTACTACTAACACTACTACTAACACTACTACTAACACTACTACTAACACTACTACTAACACTATGAGGGTGCAGTTGATGCATGAACCATGTCGACCATAAGGGGGGGGGGGGGCTATCCTCTCCGTCCCATTGGAGAGGGGGGGGGGGGCTTTCCTCTCCGTCCCACTGGTAACGCTATTCACTCCAGAATAGAGATTAAAGGTTTCACAGCTTGATACAAGGTGTGGGCCACTAATTAGGAGTCAATTAGCGGCCCACTCAGCTAGCTCTCTGTACAGTCCTCTCTTCCCAATCTTACTTGAACACCACTAACCCCCCCCCCCCCCCCCCATTAATGGGGCGACATCTCTAGCCTTGAGGGCTGATTATTTTAATCTGGTGTGCCCTAATTGCAGTAGTAAACCCCCAACTGTGACTGTGTAAAAGCAATCCTATCAGTCGGTACTGAGCACTGTATAATATAGTATATCCTCTCTCAATATTATACATGTTAATGGTAATGAATTTTGATTAATATACACTGGAGCTGGTAGAGTTGTGTGTACAGTAAGAGCGGACGTTAAGGGGGGAGTGTAGTGAGGTACCTACTCTCTAGTCCCATCTCCCTCCCTCCCTCCCTCCCTCCCGGACGTTAAGGGGGGAGTGTAGTGAGGTACCTACTCTCTAGTTCCATCTTACTCCCTCCCTCCCTCCCTCCCTCCCTCCCTCCCTCCCTCCCTCCCTCCCTCCCTCCCTCCCTCCCTCCCTCCCTCCCTCCCTCCCTCCCTCCCTCCCTCCCTCCCTCCCTCCCTCCCTCCCTCCCTCCCTCCCTCCCTCCCTCCCTCCCTCCCTCCCTCCCTCCCTCCCTCCCTCCCTCCCTCCCTCCCTCCCTCCCTCCCTCCCTCCCTCCCTCCCTCCCTCCCTCCCTCCCTCCCTCCCTCCCTCCCTCCCTCCCTCCCTCCCTCCCTCCCTCCCTCCCTCCCTCCCTCCCTCCCTCCCTCCCTCCCTCCCTCCCTCCCTCCCTCCCTCCCTCCCTCCCTCCCTCCCTCCCTCCCTCCCTCCCTCCCTCCCTCCCTCCCTCCCTCCCTCCCTCCCTCCCTCCCTCCCTCCCTCCCTCCCTCCCTCTCACAAATACAATTCAGCTCTCTTCTACCACACAATACTCCTTTATAAATACATTTCCTACCTCACTTCACCCTGTTCTCAGTAACAATATGCTTCCTTGAAACGACCAACTAATACAGTTAGAGAGCAGAACAAAATAAGAGTACTATAAATTTTACTGCCTCTCAATATTATATTGATTTCTTTCAGTGAGGAGGACACATTTGCTGCAACAAAATGCCCTAAAGGCAATACTATAAAGTTAAATAGTATACCCCGATAGTATATTACTATAATGCTTACAGCACACTTGACAGTGGGGTCTTTATAAATTCTCAACATCAAGAAATTTCAAGAGCACCTGTTCTACTACTACTAGTTTATACAATTTTTCTTAACACTCACTACAGCTTTTTGCAACATTAACCAGGCAGAGGACTGAGGAGTCAGGTGTTTCCTAGTCGTCTGTCTGTCTGACAGTTAACAGCTATACATTTTATGAGTGAATACTGAATATATATATACTATATTAGATACCATTCAATTAAGTGATCTTTCATCAGTTATAAAACGATAATAAAGTTCAAATGGTTAGGATTTTAAAATCTAACAAAATTTCGCTCTTATTAATCAACTATCTGCCAAAACATGAATGTTCAAACTACCCCCCCCCCCCCCCCCCCCCCCCCCCCCCCCCCCCCCCCCGCCCCCCCCCCCCCCCCCCCCCCCTATTTCAAGCAAGGTTTGAAATACCAGAACCTTCATAAGGTTAAGGTAAAATTGTTCTGTGCTATTGTGTGTTAGAAAATATGTGTAAGCTAATTATGGGACCTGATGATCAGCAGACGCCCTAATTAGAAAGTGATTTCTCACTTGTTGCTTTGTGTTCTATTAGAGGGTCAGTCAGGAAAACATACAATAAGCAGTTTTCCAAAGTGGTTACTCAGGTAGTTAATTAGGTAGATCAATTACTGTTTATTTTGAGATAAGGTGAGGTGTACATAACACGTGGTTAGTGTATAGTACTACCTGGGTACCTGGGTACTACTATAGTATCTCACCTGGGTACTACTATAGTATCTCACCTGGGTTGTTTTCCGAAGTAGGCCAAACCAAATGCTCCGCTTTTGTGATGAAAAGCAAAGCACATAGAATCCATAATGTTGAAATCATGAGCTGTAAAATATGATTGGTAGAATGATATTTCAAAATGAATTGTGTTAAGATTATATTTGATATTATTATAAGGTAATAATCGGGGAAGTTTCAAGACAAATTTGGGGCACTGTAAATGGTTGGTTTAAAACGATTTTAATGAAGGTTCAGAAAATGAAACATTGTATAAGAAAGGTCGTTTTGAAGTTGACATTCTAACAATGTTGTGTACAGGGTGTTACAAGACTTGTGTCCAAATTTGAAATTATAATTTTTCTATTGAATGAGTAAGTTAACAGAAATCGGTTGGGAATGCTTGTTACATTTTAGTTATTTCTTGCAAAATCGTATCAAAACCCGTTTTTTCACAATTTGGTGAAAAGCTAGACATTTTCAAGGTTCTCTGTGTCAACGGAAGCAGTTGGACGGCTGCTAGGAGTGCACTTTCGAGGAAATACGGAAAATCAGGCAGGACAATTCATCCTAAGACTATTCAACGACAGACCGTGATGAAATTTGAGACTGTGGAAGGTCCAAAGACCAGGGAAAAGGAGACTGTTTGGATGGGCCAGAGTAACCATGGTGTCTTCGGATCACACTTTTTCGAGAATGAAGATGAGAAGGCAGACATGATAAGGAAAGCAAATTATATCGCTTTGTTGCGTGGGAATGGCCGATAAATCTTCAAAATATGCGTGCAAATTTCAAACCTCTCTATACCAAGCTTCCCCGAGGAAACAAAAAGTGCCCGGTAGAGAAAAGGCCATAGAGAGGTTCACATGATCCCAATTTCTAGTATCTAAGGCCTCTCAAATAACCTGTCAAATGTCTCATATACTCCATTAGTATGCAAAACCCATTGTTAGGTGAATTGTATACAGATAATTTCAGCAATGGTAATTGTCTAGCTATAAGGATAGACACCCTCTAAAAAAACCCAGATATAAAAGAAGAAAGCCCAAATATCCAGTAGCCCAGTATATCGAAACCCAAATTATGTATTGAAAGACGAGTCACCAAAACACGGAAGTATGCAGTATTGAATACTGCACCCGCGATAACATTGGCCCCTTGCAAAAAACTAATTAATCAATGAATCAAAACATATAATATTGTATTTATAGAAACTATAAAACTCTCAAGGCTCCTTCTCCAAGCTAACGACTCTAAAGTTCCTGATTATACAGTTCCTGATGGTACAAATTTTTAAAACCGGGGTAAAAAATAAAACCCTTCGTAATATATAAATGGTCAACTAAAACTAAAATGCACAAATTCACATCATAAGCATTTATACCCTCACCTAACAAGCACTCCATGACTTTTTAGGATCTAGGAGTGTTGATCAGGTTAAGGTCCAAATCACTTATCGCTGTGGGTGGAAGAGTTCTGGTACCTCTGTAAACCCTGATAGAGATTAAATCAAAACGCAGTCTGCATCTGACAGCACCATTGGCCTTTCTTAAGGCTTATCTTTTCAGCGAGATGTTTTAGGAACTGTGAAGCCTCAAACGCCATTCCTCCTGTAGTACTGAACATCTAATCAGTGGCGTGAAGGTAGCCTTTTTACGTTGAGGACTCTGTCATTGTACTCACGTTTTTTGTTTTTCTCGTGAGATTGGGACTGCGAGATGCTCTTGTCACTGTTGGACTGGGATTGAGGGTGAAGTACCCTTACATCTGTTAGGTGAATTGATTTATTATGCTATTGCTTTGTTGTTATATTGTGTAAGTCTGTGGAGTAGTAGCGAGAAGGTATTGTATATATTTTAATTTGTTCTCCTATTTGTAAATGATTTAAATTCTGTATTTTATGTAGGGTCGGCACCAATGTAATTATGGTTCACAACCGTGTTTCGGGTTATCCGAAATGGATTTTCCAGTGATGTTTCATATAATGTTTCTCACTCCAGCTGCAGTCTGGTAGTGCTAAGTATCACAATAATTTGTCTAGCTCTCATATTCCATGTTCTTTGCCTCATAGTATATATATAAAATAATATATTTTGGTATTTTGTAGATGTAACTGTAATATATTGATATATATGATGTAAATATGAAATATGATGTAAATATATGATGTAAATTTTATTTGAATTTTGAAATAAAATTATGGACCTTGAATTAACAAATTTTGTTACCTGGAGACCCCAGGCTATTATGTTAATAAACAAATAAAGATTCGGCGGAATAAAATATTTGCTTCAAATAGGACCGTCGACGAGTCCAATTCGGCGCGCGTCCTGGTAGGTTATAAATTTGGTTGACGATGTCAGAATGCTAGTTCGCGCGGCGCGTCAAAGCGGCGAAGTCCTCCAAGTTATAAACCTACAAAAAAACTACGCGCAAAATCAAATATTTAGCTCTATTATATTATCCATAAAATTTTTGAGTTCAACATTACATAGTTTACTTTGGTAACTGTAATACTCAATACGCCAAAATTTTAAAAATTCTTGTGAAAAGGCCCTTTGGGCATATAATAAAAGTGATCCTATAAACATAAACAATGTATTTTTGGACGCTGATTCCGAATCACCCCCAATGACGTAGGGTTAAAATGCTTCCCTGGAGAGTTATGGGCGAAAAACCCTTTTCGTCACGTAACAGGATAGTAAAATAATAATTCGATTGTTTAGAGCTCGGGTTAGGGTTAGGTGTTTGGGTTGTGGTAAGGGTTATGGTTAACTTCGGGGTTATGGTTAGGGTTTATGTGAAACCGTTTTGTACGGCTGCAAAACCATAAAAACCTTATATCACATGGTGACCCCCACGGTCGCTTCACTATAAAGTTTCACTGTAGAGTTGCTTCACTGTAGAGTTTCGCTTCACTGTTGACTGTAGAGTTTCGACTATACAGGGGGAGCCGCGCACTCGTGCGCGGCGGGTCATACAACGTATGACAATAAAAACCAAAGTCACGTGAAATGTTTTGGCGAGCGAATTAGTAAAAGCCATTTTATTTATACTATAGTATTCATTTTTTTGAATATTTGCTAAATTTAAATAACAGTAGGAGTAGTAATATGAAACATTTGACAGGTTATTTGAGAGGCCTTAGATACTAGAAATTGGGATCATGTGAACCTCTTTATGGCTTTTTCTCCATCGGGCACTTTTTGTTTCCTCGGGGAAGCGTGGTATAGAGAGGTTTGAACTAGCAAATTAGCACGTTTATTTTGAAGATTTATCGGCCATTCCCATGCAACATAGCGATATAATTTGCTTTCCTTATCGTGTCTGCCTTCTCATCTTCATGCTCGAAAAAGTGTGATCCGAAGAGTTGCTGCTAGGTCGTGCTGTTGGATTGGCACATTCTCTCCTAATTTTAAAATATCTTTTATTGGCACAATTTCATTTCATTAGGAAATGTTCATTTAACATTCATCAAGTTAAAACGTTTATTGGAAATTAATATATACGGCAAAGCACTTCATTTAATATAGTAAAGTAAAAGTAAAGTAAAATTTATGACATCACATCATCACACATGTCTACAAACTATCATCGCACTGTGTGAAAAAATATATAATAAATATTTCCCCACCCACATTAATTAATTATCAAATACAATATTTAAAAACAATTTCATCAAAAACATTATCCTATTTTAAAAACTTCCCAGTGGAATAAAGATTTATAAAACGCTTCTTTGCCACATAAGGATGGAACCAAAGATAATTGTTATGTTTCTCTTTATTACTGACATAACTGGCTCCCTCAATTCTCACTAAAACTTCATTAGAAACATTCCAAAAAAAGCAATCATTTGTGATACTTTTAGAAATCATATCTATCTTATATCCTTCTAATTTAATTTTAAAACCTAAAACTGTCACAGAGTTCTTGACGTCCGGAGGGAGTTTGTTCCAATATGGAATAACTCGCTCCGGGAGAAAAGACTTCTGGATATTCTTGACCTTTGTCACACTTTTACTACATCTATTGGATGAAACCAGATTAAGACCTGATCTGCTTGGTCTGAACAAGTCTGTACCATAATCAGTCATACCATTAATAACCTTAAAAGCTTCAATAAGGTCCCCACGTATTCGCCGCTCTGCCAGCGTTGTCAAATTGAGGATTTCCAGTCTACGGCTGTAAGGAAGAGTACCCACCTCATCAATCAGACGGGTAAACCGCCTCTGGACGCTCTCCAGCTCCAAAACAGTCCCCCAACTTCCATGAGCCGCAGGTGGATTCCACAATTGGACACAATACTCAAGATGAGGTCTTATTAAAGCTTTATATATAGCAATCATAACAGCCTTTTCTCTAATAACTAAATTCCTTACAATCCAACAAATCATACGATTTGCCTTAGCGATACATGCTTTGATCTGTTCGTTCCAAAGCAGGGAGCTATGGGTAATAACCCCCAAATCTTTTTCCTGTGCAGATACTTCAAGTTCTATACCATTTACCTTATAATTTAAATTAGGATTGTTGTTAAAATTAATGTGCACTACTTTGCACTTGGCAGGATTAAATTGTAAAAGCCAAATACTTTCCCAAACTTCTAATTCTTCGATATCTTCAGCAACACTACCGTGGTTAGCTGCATTACCAATTAATTTAAGATCATCAGCAAATAACTTTATGTTATTTTTTACAAGGTCAGGCAAATCATTAATATACAGAATGAATAGGAGAGGGCCTAGAACTGACCCCTGAGGAACACCAGATAAAACATGTTTAACCTCGGACCATTGTCCTTCTACAGAAACCCTCATAGTCCTGTCTGTCAGAAAATCTTTAATAACATCTAAAACCTTTCCTTTGACACCAAAGCCTTCCAATTTAGACAGAAGTCTAAAGTGGGGGACTGTGTCGAATGCCTTACTAAAATCAAAGTATAGAAGATCAACCGGGGCACCTTCATCTAAAATGTCAAGAATGTCATCAAATGTCTCTAAAAGATTAGATAAACACGATTTACCCTTAACAAATCCATGCTGATGCTTCGAAATTCGATGTTCTAGAAAATGTAATACATGTGCTCTCACCAACTTTTCATACACTTTGCACAAAATACAAGTTAATGAAACTGGTCTATAATTTAAGGGGTCTGATTTAATACCCTTTTTAAACAATGCTACAACAGATGCAGATTTCCACACTGCAGGTAAAGATCCTGTATCTGAACACTTTTGAAATAATTTAGTCAATGCTTCAACAAAATTGTTGTCATAAGCTAGCGATTTCAACAACTTCGGATGAACACCATCCGGACCAGAACTCTTAAAAATGTTAAGCTTTAAAAGTTGCTTTTTTATATCAGAACTACTGACTTCCATATCATCAATATCATCAATACTCTCATTGTCAGGTCTTAAATTCTCAGTTTTAGGGAGAGGGCCAGGTGGTTCACGCACAAAAACAGAGCTAAAGGCACTTGCGAGTACCTCAGCTGACTCAGTCGAACTATCTGTGCGTGTACCATCTCCTCTATCTAAAGAAACCACACTAGATTTAATTTGACGTTTATTTCGTAAATAAGAGTAAAAAGACTTACAATTCTGCTTCAGATTAGATGTAATTTTCTTTTCATAGCTAACTTTAGCTTTAATCTCTGCTACTTCATAAGTATGTTGTTTGCTACTTGCATAACTAAAATTAACATCAGATGGATTAATATCAAACTCAGCCCATGCTTTATCTTTATTCTTTCTCATTCGTTTAAGTGCAGATGTACTCCATGGCAACTTGACAGGTCTGTTGTCGAGATAAACCGAAGCAGTCGGAACAGCTGCAGCAACAGTCTCCAGTTTACCATGTAATTCAGCCCACATATCTTGAACATCATTGGTAGAACTATAATCCCAGTCGATATTTTTCAAACTAAAATTTAATAACTCTTCAGAGGAAATCTTACCCAATATAGGTTTGATAATCTTCTCTTTTAAACATTTGCTAGTATCCGGCGAAACAACTAGTTCGACAAGTATCCCAACATGATCACTCTTACCAAGCGGAGAAACGATCTTACAACCGTTGACAAGAGCATCATTTGTATACAGGACCTGATCAAGAAGACTCTCCTGGAGAGTATCCTTCACAAGCCGTCTTCTAGTTGTCTCGTTGGTGAAATACCAAGTTAAACCACTGTCATTGAAAACATCCATGAATTTCTGTTGAGTAACTAAAAACTGGTTCTTGCTAGCAATATTACTATTTATATATATTACTATTAATATACTGAAAAACAAATTAGGAATTTACCGCATCCGATTTTCCGCAAACCCCGATTCACTGCAGTCATCTCTTTTCCCCCAAATAGAGCTTAACATGTATAATGTAAAAAACAAAACACAAATTTACCCTGAACCCTGATTTACCGCGGATGTTTCCTTCCCCCAACTAGGGTTTAACATACATAATGTATGTTTTAATACTTTCAACACTACTATATAACAAATAATTTGAGGATGTACCATGGAAGTCTAGAGTACCCGCAACAAGATATGCAGCTGTAAACGACTTGGTAATGGGGTGCATGTGAGCTCTGGGGGCCAGTGGCATCAGAAGACTGGCTATCAGCCTTGAAAATAAGATGAGTTCTCTTTAGATCCATGTCACATCTGCACAGTATCTCCATCACCATGACACAAACACTCTTACACTCTTCTCACTACCCTGCCCCACCCTAACCCAGCCCCTCCCTCCCTCTACCTGTTGCGGGTACTCTGGACTGCATGGACATCCTTGAATGGAGGTATTTTATATAGTAGTGTTGTATCTATATTCTATATCAATAATTTGCTATAGACACCCTATCTAGCCCAACCCTTCCCTTAACCCTCCACTCCCCTTCCTTTATACATTGTACTCTTATCCCATGCCCAACCTGCTATAGACATATTAAATAACCTCTATTCTTCCCCTTTGGGACACTGCAGTCCACCCCGCTCCCCTGCCTCTTCCCCTCCCTCCCAGTCACCCAAAACATCACTACAACATACTCACTATACACTCATATATTTAGGTTTTTTGCTTTCGAAAATTCTCTCTGTTTATTCTTCTTGATCAATCTATCTTTCCCCATGATACCACTCATTCACGTCAAAACTGTGTTACTCTCATCATCTTACTTTCAGGCTGTTGGTTGGTTCGATGGTGTCCTGGCCCCAATCTCATCATGTGCTCCCTACCATTTTCTCTTCATGCAAGACACAACTATTACTGAAGACAACCCTCGATCTACCAGATCGAGAAACAATTCCTCTCCTTCTGCTGGAAATGTCATTGACTTCACGAGACCTATTACCATCACAACCCCTGGACGCTACTTGCTTAGCAACCCTGACTCTGGCTGTAGTATCAGTCTCTTCCAGGATGTTTTCGCAAGTCAATTGTGTGATCAGTTCTCTTGTGAAATCGAAAACACTGGTGCCCTCAAACAGTACACCACAATCCACAAGCAGGCTCAAGTGCATCTCCCACGACTGTCATCATGGTACGGCCCTGTTGACTATGCATTCTCAGGAATCGTGATGAAAGCCAACTCCGTGTCAGAATGTCCTCGTCTTGTTGCAGCATATCAGCACATGGTGGAAAATCTCTTTGAACCCAACAACATCGATTGTTCCTCTGACTGCTTTCTGATCAACCAGTACAGAACAGGTCGGGATTCTTGCGGAGAACATAGCGATAATGAGCCAGAGGTCGACCTCTCAAAACCTGTTGTTACTCTGTCACTCGGACAACAACGCTGTATGCTCATCAGAGAGGCTAAGAACTCTGGAAATGCCATCACAATTAAACTTGACCAAGGTTCAGTTCTTGTTATGCATGGTACTGATTTCCAGAAAAAGTACACTCACCAAATACCCAAAGACAATGCAATCACTGCTGCACGCACATCAGTGACCTATAGGACCTGCAGCTCCAGCTTCCTGCGTGAAAGAAACGCCTTATCTACACCTCTTACTGAGATGCCTATCACTCCTGTACTTGCGAACCTGTACTCACGAACTGTACTTGCCCCCAAGTCTACAGCTGAACCAGTAAGCTCCCCGTCGCTGCACAACAGACGTAGATCTTCTCTGTCACTATCTGGCCTCTCGCAAATCAACAGCATGGACAGCTCCCCAGTTGGATCTCCTCTGGCATCAAGCTCTCCCTCCGTGACCAGCAGTAAAACTTCAGTGTCTAATAGTGAGACATTCCCTCTCAGTTTGGAAGCCATGTTAGAAGCCATTGACTCATTGAAAGAAAAAACGGTGAAAAACGAACTTTCTCGTCATGGCAGCTCAAACTCAGGGTCCCTCATTGACTGTAAGAAACGACTCAAGAAAGCTGTGAAAGCATGCCACAAACGCCTTAGCGTGCTTCTTCTTGAGCCTCCTTCCACCTCAGCTGAGCCTGATTGCGTCACCCATTCCCTCCAAACCATGGAAAACTCTGTTATTGATCTTCAAGCTAAAATTAGTCTGCAACACACCACCCTGCAAACTCTTGTATTGTGTTCTGACGATAAATCCAGTCAAAAAGGTAGCACCAGCTCCCCTAATTTGTCCAACGAACTGAACACTGTGGACAAGAGACTCGAGAAGCTTGAAGAAATCATGAGCAGCATCAACTCAAAACAACAAGACACTGCTACCTCCCTCAAAGCCTTTGAAGTTAATATCACTGCTATTAAGAGCGAGGTTGAGGACTCTAAGGCCTGCCTGCAGTCTCTCCAGCTCAAAGACCATACAAATCCCTCAAACAAAAGGCCCTTGCCCCACTCTGCTCAAAACCAGAACCGTGGAAGGTCAAATGGCACATTCCCTGACTCTCATAGAAAAACCAGAAAACCAAGAAAAGTTCTCCTCCTTCATGACTCCCAGATGAACGGATTTATAGCAGAGTCTTTCTCCTCTGGGTTTAAGGTTGAAAAAATGAAAGTAGGTTCCTATTCTGACCTAAACGGAAAACACATGAGAGATGTGATTAAACAACCAGAGGTTGACTGTTACATTCTTCAGCTTGGAGTAAATGATTACAGATATAAAGACCGTCCTGTAAATAAAGCAGTCGAGGATGCAAAAAAAGCCATTGACACACTCCTCTCTAGCTCCAGTGCTAAGATTGTCGTCTCCCTGCCCACTCCAACTCCTGGCCCATTAAGTGATTTAACAAAACAATTTGTCTCGGAAATCACCCAATTTGTCTCCACGCAAAGAGAACTAAGTGACTTACACCGGCGCCTCTTCACTGTAAACAACACTGGAAACTTTTCCCGTGCCATCTCTGCTGCCGGGTCATCCCAAGACTCTCCTAACCCACTGAAGGAAGACCAACTTCATGTCTCAGAGTATGGTCTAAAAAAACTTTGTGTTAACATAAAACTTGGCCTTTATCGTGCCTTTGGTATGAGATCCCATAGAATGCAGCCCTCTACTGCAGAGCGCTAGAATAACTCTAAAATTCAAAAACAAACAAGCCTCACGAGATCAAGTCGCTGTAATGTCCTGGAACATTCAGGACAGTACAGGAGACGGATCTAACAAATTTGAAAATAACGAATTTCTGACAATCCTCAAACAAGCAAACATTCTATGTCTCCAAGAAACTAAGAAGCAGGTTAAAATCGAAGGATACCTTTCCTTTAATAGCAACCGCAAAAATTCTCGCTCAGGAGGGGTCTGCATTCTTGCTGAAAATGATTTAAGAAAAGGTGTTTCCTGTGTTCCTTGTAGTGAATCTGAAGATATTATTGTTGTTAAACTTGACAAAAACTTTTTTAAGCTTGATTTTGATCTATTTTTAGTATGTTATTATATTAGCCCTGCATATTCGTCCTATGTCAAGAAATATCCAGACTATACTGCTAAGACCTTCTCTGCTCTTGACACCCTCTGTATTAGACTACGTCAAAAAGGAGAAGTTATCATGTGTGGCGATGCAAATGCAAGAACTGGAAAACTCCCAGACTATATCCTCTCTTGTAATGCACCTGCCATGCATGACATCTATAATGATATTGGACTTGAACATGACATTGAAGAACCCAGAAACAACTCTGACCTGACTATATCTGAACCCCACTGCCAACATTTTCTTGACATGGTTATTAATAACCAACTGAAAATTCTTAATGGGCGTACCCTCGGGGACACCACTGGAAAAATGACCTGTCACAAATATAATGGAAGCAGTGTGGTCGATTATTTTGTAATCACCTCGTGGGCAAGAGATCATGTAAACTCTCTTCAAGTTAAAGAGTTTACATCATACTCTGACCACTGTCCCTTAGTCTTGAAACTCACCACATTCGAACCATTTGTTGCCAACTTCCAGCTCCCAGACTTTTCTAATTTACCGTGTGGCTATAAGTGGGACAACAACAACTCCCACTTACTATTTAAAGCAGCCCTCAACTCACCCGAAATTGTCCATAATCTGGAATACATTGTAGCAAACGAATTTAGCGGCACCTTGGAGGGCAATAATGAACTGAACGATGCAATTACTAACTGTCTCCACAGTGCTGCTGATATAGCATTAAAAGTGAAAAAACCTCCTAAAAATTCTGCCCAAAAGAAATGGTTTGATCCACAAGTCAACTCCTCGAGACGCAACCTAAATAGGCTAGCAAACCGGCTAGGTAGTAAACACTGCAACAACATTCTCAGACGAGAATATTATAAGCAACGCAATAAGCACAGCAATCTTGTTAACAGTAAGAAATTATCCTTTCTTAGGAAGCTAAATGAAGCTATTGAAGAGGGTCATATTCTTGACTGGAAAAAATTTAAAAGGCTAAAACAAGAACATGACACTAGTCCCCTACTAGACAAATTCGATCTGGCTAGCTTTCATGATTTCTTTGCTTCCCTCTATAATAAACCAGACCAGGAACCAGATCTCACTCACCACAATCACAGACATTACCCTGAACCACCAGATCTGGACATCCTAAACAAGCCCATATCTGATTCTGAACTTACTTCCGCAATCAAAAAGCTCAAAAAGGGTAAAAGTTGCTCAAATGACTTGATCTCAAACGAGATGCTTCAGAGCCTAACTCCGCTTTGTTTCCAAGTCATCCTCAAAACATTCAACCACTCTCTGGTCTCAGGCTACTATCCATGGCATACCAGTATTATCACTCCTATCTATAAATCAGGCAACCCCTTCAGCCCAGACAATTACAGAGCAATAGCAGTTGGCAGTTGTATGGGTAAGCTGTTCTCTAGCATCTTACTTGAACGTCTGTTACACTTCAAAAAGCTCTACTGTCCTGACCCAAAAGAACAGCTTGGATTTTCGAAAGGTGCCCAAACTAACGATCACGTTTTCACCCTCAAGACAGTAATTGACAAATACACAAAAGCTAAAAAGGCTCGTCTTTATGCATGCTTTGTTGATCTAAGAAAGGCCTTTGACACTGTATGTAGGGACCTCCTTCTGCACAAAATTACATGCCTTGGAATAACCGGTAACTTCTTCAACTGCCTAAGTGATATGTACAAAAACTCTATTGCCCATATAAAAATTTCCAAACTCTTGTCGCCTAAAATTGATATTGGCAAAGGAACGGAGCAAGGACACCCCCTATCGCCAGACCTCTTTAAAATCTACATTAATGACTTTTCATCTCTCCTGAAATCTGTTGGTGACTATCCAGTTCTTGCTGACGTTCTGATATCACATCTGCTGTGGGCTGACGATCTTGTCCTTCTTGCTCTAAGTCCCGAGGCCTTGCAAGTCAATATCAACATTCTATTTGATTTCTGTAACTCCATGGGCCTTGAAGTAAATATTAAGAAAACTAAGATTGTAATATTCAGCCCTCCCAAACGAAAGCAGTCCTATGAAACATTCACATTGGGAGGTCAGCCCATCCAGCACACCGATAAATACTGCTATCTTGGCATAATATTCCACAGAAATGGATCGTTTACAGCAGCAAATACTGAGCTGAGGGCCAAGGCTCTCCGTGCTCTCTATGGCCTCAAAGGCAAAATAGTTAAGGATGCCCTCTCACACCGTGCCCTTAATATTCTATTTGACTCCTTAATAAAACCAATCCTGCTTTATGGCTGTCAAGTCTTATGCCCCCACTCAAAAACCATGAGATACCTTTCAAAAATAGATGACAAAGCCAACCCCCAGCATACCTTGAAGTACATTGCACAAGACCACTATGAAAAATTCCACCTAAAGTTTATCAAGTGGTCTTTGTCTGTACATTCAAAAGCATCAAATATAGGTTGCTGGGGCGAAAGCGGGCGCCACCCTCTATTCTTTGAAGCCTGCAAACTTGCAATAGATTACTATAGTCGCCTTGAAAACACTGAAAACGAACTACTCTGTGCTGCATTTCACGAACAAATCATGTTGGGACTTCCTTGGTATACCAACATCTCAAAGCTTCTCACCAAATACAACTTCACCCCCTCATCTTCCTCAAAATCTAAGCTCTCCACCCAAATCAGTCATAACATGAGGGAAGAATTCGTGAATACCTGGAAAGCTGCCAAGGCCTCCTCGCCAAAACTAGAATTCTATAACTTAATTAAACATGATTTCGAACCAGAGGCATACCTACGAATTATCAAAATACCGGATGTTCGAAAAAGTCTGACAAGGTTTCGTATCAGCTGCCACAACCTCTACATCGAAAGGGGCAGATACGAAACCCCCCTTGTACCAAGAGAAGAACGTTGGTGCACCTACTGCTTTTTCCGCAAAGGGCTCAAGCCTATTGAGGACGAAAGTCACGTATTGATTGACTGTTTGCTCTACTCCTCAGTTAGGGAAAAATTCAATTTCCATCCCCTAAACATTACTGACCTAGTCGGTTTGCTCTCCAACAAAACTCTAGATCCTACCACACTCACTGCCACAGCAAGAGCAATCCATTCAATTCTCTCTGTGAACGAAAATTATACAGCCTACTATAAGAGCCCAGATTTCCACTCAAATACTGGCAAGTGCATAATGCTATAGGACCTTAAAATAAGATTGAACTATACAAACTCAATTTATCTATTTTTCTAAAACTAGCATTATATATAACATTTCTAAATTATCCCTACACACTTGTAAATAATTAGAATTGTGTAACTTAAATTATTTCAGAATTACAACTATTGTGTACTCAATAAAGTAATTATCACTTTTGTATCCTTGTATCCTTGTATCCTTGTATCCTAATGTAAACAATCAAAACAACGATTTACCTCAAACCAAGTCTTGAGAGCACCCATGTAATTTCCAGTTTAACGGCACTGCTATGTAAGATCAGGGGTTTACTGTGAATGACAGTACTTTACTTGCTGGTGAAGTACTGTCATTGTTCTAGTAAATCGCTGGTGGAGTACCGTCCTTGTACCAGTAAATTGACCCAAAGGTTCATCGATATGCATTATGCATATTCATCTTTAATGTAGGTACTATGGTAATGGGTATTAAAAAAACTTTCAAAGTAACTTTTCATTCGCTCTAGCTGTGATGATACGACGAACATACGGAAAATGGCTTTTTCTGATGGTAGTCTGCTTCACTGTTTTCCTCATGTTTCAATACACCTCACAGGTTTGTGATCATAAATTGTTATTTCTTTATTGAACATTTCAAATACATATTTAGTATTCTAATGTTTTCTTTCAACATAAAATATCTCAATTTTTTTGGTTTGAATTACAAAAGTTTCGTCTAAAGGCTAAAGTTTACTCAAACTCAGCTATCAAAATTATCTATAATTCTTACTTCTTTCACTAATAGACAAAGTTTAAAAAAATCGAAAATGATACTTGTATATTTTATTTATCATCTGCAGTTCCAGAAGATAAACACAAATAAAATTAAAAGCGAAAAATGTCGTCATTTTGACGTGTTAGTAACGTTTAAATTCAAATCTCAAACAGAAAAATATATATTTCAAAGCTTTGTGTTTTGATCATATGATTGTGGGTGTATAGTGATTTTGATTGCATAATTTTGATTGGGCAGTGATGGTGAGTGAGAAAATGATGGGAGTGCCAGCCAGGGACAGTATCTCTGTCAAATGAACAGCCCACTGAGGAGTGGCTGAGCGCAAACGCGAGAACAGCAGAGAGGGCGGCACAAAACGGCACACACGGCCACGGAAAAGACACAGAAACTAAACCGTGTGCGGTAAGTTAGCCAGTGTCTGAGAGCTAGTGCTGCCCGGCAGAAGGCCTCCAAAAGAGGTGTTGTGGTGAACTGTGGAGGCAAAGTTCGAATGCAAGGCAGCTCTAACTGATAATGAAGAGGTAGACTGAACGGGAAGTAAAAAAAGGGATAGGAAGGATCCAGCTGAGTCCGGCTCATGTCAGGAAGTGATGAAAAAATCACAGATTTTCTACCCCGTACGTAGGCAGTGTCCGAGATTTCAGGCATCAGGATACACTGAAACAGTGCAGAGCTGATTACGACCAGGGTCCTCACGGATACCCCGCCTCGGAGGTCGAGCCAATGCCCTGCTTTCGAAAACCTTCATATTTTTTCTACTAGCAGTCACTGTAACCCTATCACTCGGAAGGCCCTGGGATGATGCATCTCCAAACCTGAGAGATTTATTCATGTGGGACATTCCCATGTAATTTGACTTTTGAATCGTTTAATCTGTTTATGTGATAAACCTATCTCTATATCTTATTCAATTTCAGGATATTGAGCACCTAGACACGCTACAGACAGATAACGCATTACCCAGATTACAACCATTTGTATGTTTTATTAAAATTTCAAGTTAATCCATAAGTTCTTTGAGCCTATTAGGGGGCAGTGGGGTCTTCGTGCAAATTTTCCCGAAATCGACTTTTTAGTTTTTTAAATAGAGTTATTAAATCTTCCTAGCTGAATTTATCGCCGGTCAAAGGTCAAAGTGGGTGGGGGTGTCATGTCATGTCGCCCCCAGTGTTGTTTCAAAGAAACAAAAACAATCGCACCCTCTGAAAATCGAGTCTAAAAAATCTTCCTTTACAGTTTTTGAGCAATCACCCTGAAACTATCAGGAAAATCAAAAAAAGTTTTGAAAAAAAGTTTTGAAAAAAAAAGAAGTTTTTATTTACTGTCACCAATATGAAACTAGGTCGAACGGAAAAATTAGGTCTCACGCAGGAAAAGCGTGTGAATGGAAAAATTTACAAATGACATTCAGACACAATTTTTACTTTGCAACACTAGTTCGGCGCACTGGTTTACATTTCCGAACTACAGCGTTCATCAAGAATTCTTGTTTAGTGTAAATTAATTTATTAATTTATCACTTGTAGTTGTACACTTATTAAAAATGGCTTTATTATAATAAAACCACTTCTGTGAAATGGTTATGTTGACTTTAAATATTTGAACTAAATATGAATTGAATGTGGGTATAAAATAAAGTTTTGTTTTATTCTGTGAGCAAGATTGAAAATCGCTTGCACAATACAATTACTGACCTTTGACCGATGGGATCAAAAGCAGCTGATAGATATAACTCTCTTCTATTAGAAAAATTAAAAGGTCGATTTCGAGAGAATTTCCATGAAGACCCTGGCCTTGCCCTCTTAAACAGCTAAGAAATAACTTTTCAGTTTATAAATTCAAGATCCTAAATCTTACCGCTACCAGGCCATACTGTGAACCAGGCCATACTGTGAACCAGGCCATACTGTGAACCAGGCCATACTGTGAACCAGGCCATACTGTGAACCAGGCCATACTGTGAACCAGGCCATACTGTGAACCAGGCCATACTGTGAACCAGGCCATACTGTGAACCAGGCCATACTGTGAACCAGGCCATACTGTGAACCAGGCCATACTGTGAACCAGGCCATACTGTGAACATTGAAATATACATTTTTCCAGTTATCAACCACTGAAAGTTCACTAATTCGTTTTCATTATTTAAATAGAAAACAGAAGCTTCACAAGTCAGTGTTATGGACTCGTGTATGGAGATAAAACTTGATAATAATAATAAAGCAGACATTCAGGTCAGGTTTTTATCGTATATATTGTTGTATCAATAATAAGAAATTAATAAATAATCATTAATGTATTAAAATTTGAGTCCCCAACTTGTGGTAACGTATATTATAAGGGGGGGGGGGGGGGGGGGGGGGGGGGGGGAGTGGGTAGGGAATAAAACAACAATGAACTTAAATTAAAACAATGGCTACAAAGATTGTTTAAAACCAGTAATATTCTCATTTATTTGATAGTTTGAATAATCGGATCTAGCCGTATTCAATTGTGTTATTATCTTTCTACATAAATTTAAAATTTAAATCCTCAGATTTCCTCCTTGGTAGAAGAGTTAGATTTTCACCTTGACCACGGAGGTAAAGTAGTAGTAAGTGGGGAGGTCAGACCCCCCCCCCCCCCCCCCCCCCCCCCCATGTAGTATTGGTATGGATTATTCACCAGAACTTTCACTGTAATCTTTCTTTCTTCTTTTAAATCCTGTTTAATCTATAGTATTGTTAACCTGCTGATATGATTTCAGGGCACAACCAGACCTCATTTCCAGACTTGCAGCCTTTACCAAACTCACAAAATTTGAGAGTATTTCTCATTCCGCATTCGCACTGCGACCCAGGTTTACTATTATCTGGTAACACCTAGATCTCAGATCCAGTCTTACTTTTTGTAATCTTACGTCAAATTGATGTTTAATCTCAATAAAAATTAACAAAATATAGTATTTAACAGTTACTATTATTAACAGTGTCTCACTGTGTTCTCCTCCAGGCTGGCTGGAAACTTATACTAAATACTACGAGAATAAAGTGCGATATATATTATCTTGGTTGCACATATTTGCTATGGAGCATTCTGACTTTAAGTTCATTTATGCAGAGGTAAGTTAATACTACTAGTTAAATCTATCAGCTCTCGGAAAATTTTATAATTCTCAGGGGGCAGAAATTCACTATCAGCCACAGAGCTTATTACCAAAGTCTCATTATGTATTGCAATATCTATCTTAGCTTCTCATTAAGTATTGCAATATCTATCTTAGCTTCTCATTAAGTATTGCAATATCTATCTTAGCTTCTCATTAAGTATTGCAATATCTATCTTAGCTTCTCATTAGGTATTGCAATATCTATCTTAGCTTCTCATTAGGTATTGCAATATCTATCTTAGCTTCTCATTAGGTATTGCAATATCTATCTTAGCTTCTCATTAAGTATTGCAATATCTATCTTAGCTTCTCATTAAGTATTGCAATATCTATCTTAGCTTCTCATTAGGTATTGCAATATCTATCTTAGCTTCTCATTAGGTATTGCAATATCTATCTTAGCTTCTCATTAAGTATTGCAATATCTATCTTAGCTTCTCATTAAGTATTGCAATATCTATCTTAGCTTCTCATTAAGTATTGCAATATCTTTCTTAGCTTCTCATTAAGTATTGCAATATCTATCTTAGCTTCTCATTAGGTATTGCAATATCTATCTTAGCTTCTCATTAGGTATTGCAATATCTATCTTAGCTTCTCATTAAGTATTGCAATATCTATCTTAGCTTCTCATTAGGTATTGCAATATCTATCTTAGCTTCTCATTAAGTATTGCAATATCTATCTTAGCTTCTCATTAGGTATTGCAATATCTATCTTAGCTTCTCATTAAGTATTGCAATATCTATCTTAGCTTCTCATTAGGTATTGCAATATCTATCTTAGCTTCTCATTAAGTATTGCAATATCTATCTTAGCTTCTCATTAGGTATTGCAATATCTATCTTAGCTTCTCATTAAGTATTGCAATATCTATCTTAGCTTCTCATTAGGTATTGCAATATCTATCTTAGCTTCTCATTAGGTATTGCAATATCTATCTTAGCTTCTCATTAAGTATTGCAATATCTATCTTAGCTTCTCATTAAGTATTGCAATATCTATCTTAGCTTCTCATTAAGTATTGCAATATCTATCTTAGCTTCTCATTAAGTATTGCAATATCTATCTTAGCTTCTCATTAGGTATTGCAATATCTATCTTAGCTTCTCATTAAGTATTGCAATATCTATCTTAGCTTCTCATTAAGTATTGCAATATCTATCTTAGCTTCTCATTAAGTATTGCAATATCTATCTTAGCTTCTCATTAAGTATTGCAATATCTATCTTAGCTTCTCATTAGGTATTGCAATATCTATCTTAGCTTCTCATTAAGTATTGCAATATCTATCTTAGCTTCTCATTAAGTATTGCAATATCTATCTTAGCTTCTCATTAAGTATTGCAATATCTATCTTAGCTTCTCATTAGGTATTGCAATATCTATCTTAGCTTCTCATTAAGTATTGCAATATATATCTTAGCTTCTCATTAAGTATTGCAATATATATCTTAGCTTCTCATTAAGTATTGCAATATCTATCTTAGCTTCTCATTAATTATTGCAATATCTATCTTAGCTTCTCATTAAGTATTGCAATATCTTTCTTAGCTTCTCATTAATTATTGCAATATCTATCTTAGCTTCTCATTAGGTATTGCAATATCTATCTTAGCTTCTCATTAAGTATTGCAATATCTATCTTAGCTTCTCATTAAGTATTGCAATATCTATCTTAGCTTCTCATTAGGTATTGCAATATCTATCTTAGCTTCTCATTAAGTATTGCAATATCTATCTTAGCTTCTCATTAAGTATTGCAATATCTATCTTAGCTTCTCATTAAGTATTGCAATATCTATCTTAGCTTCTCATTAAGTATTGCAATATCTATCTTAGCTTCTCATTAAGTATTGCAATATCTATCTTAGCTTCTCATTAGGTATTGCAATATCTATCTTAGCTTCTCATTAAGTATTGCAATATCTATCTTAGCTTCTCATTAAGTATTGCAATATCTATCTTAGCTTCTCATTAAGTATTGCAATATCTATCTTAGCTTCTCATTAAGTATTGCAATATCTATCTTAGCTTCTCATTAAGTATTGCAATATCTATCTTAGCTTCTCATTAGGTATTGCAATATCTATCTTAGCTTCTCATTAAGTATTGCAATATCTTTCTTAGCTTCTCATTAAGTATTGCAATATCTTTCTTAGCTTCTCATTAGGTATTGCAATATCTTTCTTAGCTTCTCATTAAGTATTGCAATATCTTTCTTAGCTTCTCATTAATTATTGCAATATCTATCTTAGCTTCTCATTAAGTATTGCAATATCTATCTTAGCTTCTCATTAGGTATTGCAATATCTATCTTAGCTTCTCATTAAGTATTGCAATATCTATCTTAGCTTCTCATTAATTATTGCAATATCTATCTTAGCTTCTCATTAGGTATTGCAATATCTATCTTAGCTTCTCATTAAGTATTGCAATATCTTTCTTAGCTTCTCATTAAGTATTGCAATATCTATCTTAGCTTCTCATTAGGTATTGCAATATCTATCTTAGCTTCTCATTAAGTATTGCAATATCTATCTTAGCTTCTCATTAGGTATTGCAATATCTATCTTAGCTTCTCATTAGGTATTGCAATATCTATCTTAGCTTCTCATTAAGTATTGCAATATCTTTCTTAGCTTCTCATTAGGTATTGCAATATCTATCTTAGCTTCTCATTAGGTATTGCAATATCTATCTTAGCTTCTCATTAAGTATTGCAATATCTATCTTAGCTTCTCATTAAGTATTGCAATATCTATCTTAGCTTCTCATTAAGTATTGCAATATCTATCTTAGCTTCTCATTAGGTATTGCAATATCTATCTTAGCTTCTCATTAAGTATTGCAATATATATCTTAGCTTCTCATTAAGTATTGCAATATATATCTTAGCTTCTCATTAAGTATTGCAATATCTATCTTAGCTTCTCATTAATTATTGCAATATCTATCTTAGCTTCTCATTAAGTATTGCAATATCTTTCTTAGCTTCTCATTAATTATTGCAATATCTATCTTAGCTTCTCATTAGGTATTGCAATATCTATCTTAGCTTCTCATTAAGTATTGCAATATCTATCTTAGCTTCTCATTAAGTATTGCAATATCTATCTTAGCTTCTCATTAGGTATTGCAATATCTATCTTAGCTTCTCATTAAGTATTGCAATATCTATCTTAGCTTCTCATTAAGTATTGCAATATCTATCTTAGCTTCTCATTAAGTATTGCAATATCTATCTTAGCTTCTCATTAAGTATTGCAATATCTATCTTAGCTTCTCATTAAGTATTGCAATATCTATCTTAGCTTCTCATTAGGTATTGCAATATCTATCTTAGCTTCTCATTAAGTATTGCAATATCTATCTTAGCTTCTCATTAAGTATTGCAATATCTATCTTAGCTTCTCATTAGGTATTGCAATATCTATCTTAGCTTCTCATTAAGTATTGCAATATCTTTCTTAGCTTCTCATTAAGTATTGCAATATCTTTCTTAGCTTCTCATTAGGTATTGCAATATCTTTCTTAGCTTCTCATTAAGTATTGCAATATCTTTCTTAGCTTCTCATTAATTATTGCAATATCTATCTTAGCTTCTCATTAAGTATTGCAATATCTATCTTAGCTTCTCATTAGGTATTGCAATATCTATCTTAGCTTCTCATTAAGTATTGCAATATCTATCTTAGCTTCTCATTAGGTATTGCAATATCTATCTTAGCTTCTCATTAAGTATTGCAATATCTTTCTTAGCTTCTCATTAAGTATTGCAATATCTATCTTAGCTTCTCATTAGGTATTGCAATATCTATCTTAGCTTCTCATTAAGTATTGCAATATCTATCTTAGCTTCTCATTAGGTATTGCAATATCTATCTTAGCTTCTCATTAGGTATTGCAATATCTATCTTAGCTTCTCATTAAGTATTGCAATATCTTTCTTAGCTTCTCATTAGGTATTGCAATATCTATCTTAGCTTCTCATTAGGTATTGCAATATCTATCTTAGCTTCTCATTAAGTATTGCAATATCTATCTTAGCTTCTCATTAAGTATTGCAATATCTATCTTAGCTTCTCATTAAGTATTGCAATATCTATCTTAGCTTCTCATTAAGTATTGCAATATCTATCTTAGCTTCTCATTAGGTATTGCAATATCTATCTTAGCTTCTCATTAGGTATTGCAATATCTATCTTAGCTTCTCATTAAGTATTGCAATATCTATCTTAGCTTCTCATTAAGTATTGCAATATCTATCTTAGCTTCTCATTAAGTATTGCAATATCTTTCTTAGCTTCTCATTAAGTATTGCAATATCTATCTTAGCTTCTCATTAGGTATTGCAATATCTATCTTAGCTTCTCATTAGGTATTGCAATATCTATCTTAGCTTCTCATTAAGTATTGCAATATCTTTCTTAGCTTCTCATTAAGTATTGCAATATCTATCTTAGCTTCTCATTAGGTATTGCAATATCTATCTTAGCTTCTCATTAGGTATTGCAATATCTATCTTAGCTTCTCATTAAGTATTGCAATATCTTTCTTAGCTTCTCATTAAGTATTGCAATATCTTTCTTAGCTTCTCATTAAATATTGCAATATCTATCTTAGCTTCTCATTAAGTATTGCAATATCTATCTTAGCTTCTCATTAGGTATTGCAATATCTATCTTAGCTTCTCATTAAGTATTGCAATATCTATCTTAGCTTCTCATTAGGTATTGCAATATCTATCTTAGCTTCTCATTAAGTATTGCAATATCTTTCTTAGCTTCTCATTAAGTATTGCAATATCTTTCTTAGCTTCTCATTAGGTATTGCAATATCTATCTTAGCTTCTCATTAAGTATTGCAATATCTATCTTAGCTTCTCATTAGGTATTGCAATATCTATCTTAGCTTCTCATTAGGTATTGCAATATCTATCTTAGCTTCTCATTAAGTATTGCAATATCTTTCTTAGCTTCTCATTAAGTATTGCAATATCTTTCTTAGCTTCTCATTAATTATTGCAATATCTATCTTAGCTTCTCATTAAGTATTGCAATATCTATCTTAGCTTCTCATTAGGTATTGCAATATCTATCTTAGCTTCTCATTAAGTATTGCAATATCTATCTTAGCTTCTCATTAGGTATTGCAATATCTATCTTAGCTTCTCATTAGGTATTGCAATATCTATCTTAGCTTCTCATTAAGTATTGCAATATCTATCTTAGCTTTTCATTAAGTATTGCAATATCTATCTTAGCTTCTCATTAAGTATTGCAATATCTATCTTAGCTTCTCATTAAGTATTGCAATATCTATCTTAGCTTCTCATTAAGTATTGCAATATCTATCTTAGCTTCTCATTAAGTATTGCAATATCTATCTTAGCTTCTCATTAATTATTGCAATATCTTTCTTAGCTTCTCATTAAGTATTGCAATATCTATCTTAGCTTCTCATTAGGTATTGCAATATCTATCTTAGCTTCTCATTAAGTATTGCAATATCTATCTTAGCTTCTCATTAAGTATTGCAATATCTATCTTAGCTTCTCATTAGGTATTGCAATATCTATCTTAGCTTCTCATTAAGTATTGCAATATCTTTCTTAGCTTCTCATTAATTATTGCAATATCTATCTTAGCTTCTCATTAAGTATTGCAATATCTTTCTTAGCTTCTCATTAATTATTGCAATATCTATCTTAGCTTCTCATTAAGTATTGCAATATCTATCTTAGCTTCTCATTAAGTATTGCAATATCTATCTTAGCTTCTCATTAAGTATTGCAATATCTATCTTAGCTTCTCATTAAGTATTGCAATATCTATCTTAGCTTCTCATTAAGTATTGCAATATCTATCTTAGCTTCTCATTAGGTATTGCAATATCTATCTTAGCTTCTCATTAGGTATTGCAATATCTATCTTAGCTTCTCATTAGGTATTGCAATATCTATCTTAGCTTCTCATTAAGTATTGCAATATCTATCTTAGCTTCTCATTAAGTATTGCAATATCTATCTTAGCTTCTCATTAAGTATTGCAATATCTATCTTAGCTTCTCATTAGGTATTGCAATATCTATCTTAGCTTCTCATTAAGTATTGCAATATCTATCTTAGCTTCTCATTAGGTATTGCAATATCTATCTTAGCTTCTCATTAAGTATTGCAATATCTATCTTAGCTTCTCATTAAGTATTGCAATATCTATCTTAGCTTCTCATTAAGTATTGCAATATCTATCTTAGCTTCTCATTAAGTATTGCAATATCTATCTTAGCTTCTCATTAAGTATTGCAATATCTATCTTAGCTTCTCATTAATTATTGCAATATCTATCTTAGCTTCTCATTAAGTATTGCAATATCTATCTTAGCTTCTCATTAAGTATTGCAATATCTATCTTAGCTTCTCATTAAGTATTGCAATATCTATCTTAGCTTCTCATTAAGTATTGCAATATCTATCTTAGCTTCTCATTAGGTATTGCAATATCTATCTTAGCTTCTCATTAGGTATTGCAATATCTATCTTAGCTTCTCATTAATTATTGCAATATCTATCTTAGCTTCTCTAAATTGAGATCTCCAGACACTTGGTTGTGTCTAACATTGGATGAGCATTATATTAAGTTGACCAAAAGGTATAAGCCCTTGAACATGTTGAAAGTAAATACTGAGTTTACCCGCATTCCCCACATTTGCACTTAGAGGAAGCGGTCCAGGGTTAACAATACCAGGATTTACTATTATTACCAAGATAAGATTCATCCCAAGCAGCCAGATTATGCATTCTGTAAAAGCTTTGCCCATTTTACCATTAAATGGACTATTCCTATATGTTGAATTCCGACAGAACTTATGTAACCACAGGCAAACCTTAAATAACTTACGTAATTATTGCACATAAATTTCAAAGAATATAGATATTTCGTGGATCTAAATATTAACTGTTTCAGGTGTCGTTCTTCAAGTTGTGGTGGGAGGAGCAGGATATGGACGTTAGACTGGACATGAGAAGGTCGTTAAATTTAAAATTTGGGAATAGCTAGCTAGCCGTAGCTATGCGCCTGTTTCCACTCTAACAACTCTAATAGCGCATTAATATGATAATTTCAACTAAAGGCAACTTTAAATGTGCTCAGCTATGTTTTGTTCGACAAGCTCCATTTTAATCGTTTTAATAAGATCTAATCTTGTGTGAGTTTTGACTTTGAATTTATAACACTTATTATATACATATATATTTTTTGAGTAAACATTGGCTGGTACTTCGGGCCGGTCCCCAACAAAAAAGGTATAGTAAGGTATAGTATGCTGCACCCTGTAAAGTAGGGTAACTATGCTGCACCCTATATAGTAAGGTATAGTATGCTGCACCCTATATAGTAAGGTATAGTATGCTGCACCCTGTAAAGTAGGGTAACTATGCTGCACCCTATATAGTAAGGTATAGTATGCTGCACCCTATATAGTAAGGTATAGTATGCTGCACCCTGTAAAGTAGGGTAACTATGCTGCACCCTATATAGTAAGGTATTAGTGCTTTTCATGCAACAAGTAAAACAAATCCTTTATGTCATGTTTCCAGGGTTTGGACTGGAATTGCCTGCTTAAAGAACCTCCATCGCATTACATTACATAATTTTCTGAAACATATATTACATTTACAATAAATTATGCAATATCACAACATTACAATCAACAAAATAAATTTAATCGCAGAATCTCAAATGCAAATAATCGTAAATTAAACACAAAAAACAAACAACAGAAAACAACTTAAACATGCAATAAATGAATATACGAATGCGCATCTTTTGTCAACTTACTCCTTCATAAAATTAATTTTTGACAAAAAAATTTTTTTAGACGGTAAAATAATGGTTACTAATTTATAAGTCACAAATAATAAATCAATACAAATTAATCACAAATACTAGAATAATTAATAGATATTAGGTAACTTATATAACTGAAAAACGATATATGTCGATACAAATTACAAAATAATATTAGGTGATTGAAACATTTCAATAAATTCATCATAAATATCACTACCATATTTACCCCAAATATTTAATCTTGATTTATAAAACTTGACAAACTTGTTGCGCAAAGCAGCTAACTTAAATCCTTGCGCAACCAATTTACCTAAAAGTTCGGTAACACAATTTTTGAAACCCTTAAGTGTCGAATTAATTCTGGCTAATCGTACTAATTGAGAAATAAATATTCCATAAGACAAATTATTTGGAACGTTTCCATCCAAAAAAGGATAAGATATAACTTTAAAATTATAATCTTTTCTTTTATCATATAACGTCACTCTAAACTTTCCTTGATAAATACTAATGTTTAAGTCTAGATAGCAACATTTACGAGCCGAAATATTAGTATTATTTACTATCATTTCCTTAGGATAAATATCTTCTAATACATTCTGTAATAAATTGAAATCATTAAAAACTATCAAATCATCTTGATAACGAAAAGTGTCTTTTAATCTTTTTAGATTTTCTGTATCCCCTTGTTCTATCAAAAGTTTAATATATTTATATTCGTAAACATGTAAATAAACATTAGCTATTTGTGGTGCTGCATTGGTACCCATTGGTATTCCAATAACTTGTCTATAAATTTGACCCTGATAAGTAACATAAGAATTATCAATCAAATAATTAAGACATTCCAAAAGTGTATCTTTAGAAAAATGAACTTTATTTTTACTAACATTATCAGAGAAATAGGCCTTCTTAGTATAAAGATTAGGAATAATATAAGACTTATCTTTAAAATCAAATACTCTTTCTACAAACATACGAAGATTATCCTTCAATTGAATATGAGGAATAGATGTATATAAAGTTGAAAAATCATAAGTACTGACAGACTTTAAACCTTTCTGGGTATTATCATAACTAAGAAAATCTAAGATAGGCTCATTATTATCAATAACAAAATAATCATTTCTAACGTGAAATTTATTATCATATATAGATTTATTTTTAGCTGAGTGAAGCATAGATTTAATACAAATGCTAAGATAGACTGATAATTGTTGTAAACTACTTCCACTACCAGACGTTATATATCTAACTCCGACTGGCTTTTTATGCTGTTTTGGTGTAATATATAAATAAGGTAATTTGCTATTATCTTCATCAAATTTAATACGATGTTTAAGTAAGAATGCTTTATGCTCATTAATTATATCATCTTCTGAACGATTAACTTTAGTAAATGTATTCGATGATAATTCCTTTTCAATCATACTAATATAGAACTTTTTACAAACAATAGTAATATTATTTTTGGCTTTATCGGTAGGAACCAATACAAAATCTTTATGAAGCTCATCTGCACCCTGTAAAGTAGAGTAACTATGCTGCACCCTATATAGTAAGGTATACTATGCTGCACCCTCTCAGGTTGGCACAGGAGGGTAGGTTTGAGTTGGGTAACTATGCTGCACCCTCTCAGGTTGGCACAGGAGGGTAGGTTTGAGTTGGGTAACTATGCTGCACCCTCTCAGGTTGGCACAGGAGGGTAACTACTAACTATGGTGCACCCTCTCAGGTTGGCACAGGAGGGTAGGTTTGAGTTTGTACAAGGAGGATGGGTGCAGAATGACGAAGCTAATACGCATTACTTTGCTATTTTCAATCAAATGTTGGACGGTCACGACTGGTTAAAGAAGAACATACCAGGTTTCTCTCTTACTATAGTCACGCAACTGATCACATTAAAATAGTAATCCTTCATCACGGGATTTTACGAATTAATAAATGAAAGTAATACTTTTTTGCATTAATTATTTAATGTTAAGACCGAATCTAAACTCTTATTTCAGAGGCGATGCCAAAGTCGGGTTGGGCCATTGATCCGTTTGGTTTGTCTCCTACAATGGGCTATGTTAACAAACTGTTCGGACTTACTGGAATGCACATCCAGGTTTAGTCCCCACAAGGACTCTTAGTGTACTACTATACTAATTTACTACTATGCTAGTCCCCACAGTTCATCTACTCATATCTTGAAATGTGTTAATCAAATGTTCGCGTGAACAATTGTTCAACATTTTCTATTTTAACTCAATTGTACATCGACATTCGACAGGTGTTTGACAATTTCTACAAAACTCTACATTTACACGGACTGTGTCACGTGTTGCTGTGGTAACATGTGACACAGTGTTGCTGTGTTGCTGTGGTAACACGAGTATTTCAGAGGGTGCACTATGCTGTTAAGAACCATCTGGCACAAACTAAGAATTTAGATTTCAGATGGAGGCAATCCTGGGGTGAGTCTGTAGAGTTAGTAATTAGTTACACTATTTAGGTCTATTGGGGTCTATAGATAAAAAAGATGTGGGCGAAAATTGCCTGCATAAATGTGTCTTCGAGTCTGTAGTCACACCCTCATTTTGTTTGTTTGTGATTGTTGGAAACTAATGCTTCGCGATAAACGCCCGCTTGTGGATATAATACATATCATACTCGCCTCGCGGGCGAAAGTTTCATGGGTTTGTGAACAACAATCTTCAGAAGATTGTTGTTCACACATCCAAGAAACTTTTAGTTCCTGACGAAAACATCGTTAACTTTGTCACGCTTCTATATACAGGGTGGCCCAAAAGTGACTACCCACACGCAACCTCTTAATAACTCACGTAATTCGTCTCCAAATTGCACCAAAATTTCAGAGATTATAGATATGGGTCAAACTTAGATTTCCTGAAAGTTTCGTAAGCCACGCCCAATTACATTGGGCGTGGCGTGACACTCCCTCTTTTTCACTATTGTCTTCATAAAATGAGAACGCTTTAAGCTAAGAACTCAAAATTTTTTGCACACATTTGGCTTGATAATTGAAAACCTTTCCCAAAGTTGTAAGTTCATTGGTTAAATAATGGCTGAGTTATGACCATTTCAAAACTCATCGGATACGTGATCCGAGCACTCAGTCAGTGATCTCTGCACTTGGTTAATGGCCTGTTTGGCTCACATGCACCGCTTGATTGGTATATATATATAATTATGATATACAATATATTATTAAGAAACTGTTTACACCATTAAAATATTCAAAACCCCTAAAAGAAATCAAGTCATCCTAAAATGGTGATCAGTACAGATCAAGACAGCTAGAGTTAAAATTTGTTCCTCCAAGCAACTCTATCATTCGGCTAATATCTTAAGCTTATTAAGATCATTCAAAGAGTAAGTTTTTAAACCTCTACAGGTCAAATCATTCACAATAATCTTGAACAAATTCTTACGATGCGCACCGACGCGCCCTTTACAGTTTGTTGTGACAGCAAACTTTAACGCTAATGCAGCGGGGGAGTCATCAGCACTACGCAAGATATGACCTAGGAGCTTCCACCTTGCTTTAGGGACACGATCTGATAGCTTAACTGAGTTACATCTTAGGTATAAGTTTGCATTGGATATTGTTCCATGAGGCCAATAAATGTTCAGTAATATATAATATATACCTGTTTATATAAATAGCACTATCATATTATTATAATTTACTAGAATATCACTCAATAAGACACACAATACTTCAGATTCTGAAGGAACGACAGATATGCTAACTCACCTGGGCCCTTTCGTGTCGTACGGACAACAACACTCCTGCGGGCCTGACCCTGACGTTAGTTCCTTATTTGGGCATCACGTGGGGTAACACATTGTTAACATTACCTTATTTGGGCATCACGTGGGGTAACACGTTGTTAACATTACCTTATTTGGGCATCACGTGGGGTAACACGTTGTTAACATTACCTTATTTGGGCATCACGTGGGTAACACGTGTTAACATTACCTTATTTGGGCATCACGTGGGGTAACACGTTGTTAACATTACCTTATTGGGCATCACGTGGGGTAACACGTTGTTAACATTACCTTATTTGGGCATCACGTGGGGTAACACGTTGTTAACATTACCTTATTTGGGCATCACGTGGGGTAACACATTGTTAACATTACCTTATTTGGGCATCACGTGGGGTAACACGTTGTTAACATTACCTTATTTGGGCATCATGTGGGGTAACACATTGTTAACATCACCTTATTTGGGCATCACGTGGGGTAACACGTTGTTAACATTACCTTATTTGGGCATCACGTGGGGTAACACATTGTTTAACATTACCTTATTTGGGCATCACGTGGGGTAACACGTTGTTAACATTACCTTATTTGGGCATCACGTGGGGTAAACACATTGTTAACATCACCTTATTGGGCATCACGTGGGGTAACACGTTGTTAACATTACCTTCTTTGGGCATCACGTGGGGTAACACATTGTTAACATCACCTTATTTGGGCATCACGTGGGGTAACACGTTGTTAACATTACCTTATTTGGGCATCACGTGGGGTAACACGTTGTTAACATTACCTTATTTGGCATCACGTGGGTAACACGTTGTTAACATTACCTATTTGGGCATCACGTGGGGTAACACGTTGTTAACATACCTTATTTGGGCATCACGTGGGGTAAGACATTGTTAACATTACCTTATTTGGGCATCACGTGGGGTAACACGTTGTTAACATTACCTTATTAGAGAATCACGTGGGGTAACACGTTGTTAACATTACCTTATTTGGGCATCACGTGGGGTAACACGTTGTTAACATTACCTTATTTGGGCATCACGTGGGGTAACACGTTGTTAACATTACCTTATTTGGGCATCACGTAGTGTAACACATTGTTAACATTACCTTATTTGGGCATCACGTGGGGTAACACGTTGTTAACATTACCTTATTTGGGCATCACGTGGGGTAACACATTGTTAACATTACCTTATTTGGGCATCACGTGGGGTAACATGTTGTAACATTACCTTATTTGGGCATCACGTGGGGTAACACGTTGTTAACATTACCTTATTTGGGCATCACGTAGGGTAACACATGTTAACATTACCTTATTTGGGCATCACGTGGGGTAACACATTGTTAACATAATTACCTTATTTGGGCATCACGTGGGGTAACACGTTGTTAACATTACCTTATTTGGGCATCACGTGGGGTAACACGCTGTTAACATGACCTTATTTGGGCATCACGTGGGGTAACACATTGTTAACATTACCTTATTTGGGCATCACGTGGGGTAACACATTGTTAACATAATTACCTTATTTGGGCATCACGTGGGGTAAACACGTTGTTAACATTACCTTATTTGGGCATCACGTGGGTAACACGCTGTTAACATTACCTTATTTGGGCATCACGTGGGGTAACACGTTGTTAACATTACCTTATTGTTAACCTAAGTGTTAACATATTACTTGAAGACTTTTTCTTTCTGTCACACTCACGGAGACTATACTTTCAGGTTTGCTGCATGTTTAACTTTATGGATAGAGGAACGGGGGATTCAGGGAATGATTTAAAGAGCGGCAGTTTACTTGTTCCATACTACAGAGGAGAACGTTGTAGAGAGCGTTAGTTTACTAGTCCCCTACTACAGAGGAGAACGTTGTAGAGAGGTTAGTTTACTGGTCCCTACTACGAGGAGAACGTTGAGAGAGAGTTAGTTTACTGGTCCCTACTACAGAGGAGAAACGTTGTAGAGAGGTTAGTTTACTGGTCCCTACTACAGAGGAAGAACGTTGTAGAGAGGTTAGTTTACTAGTCCCCTACTACAGAGGAGAACGTTGTAGAGAGGTTAGTTTTACTGGTCCCTACTACAGAGGAGAACGTTGTAGAGAGGTTAGTTTACTGGTCCCTACTACAGAGGGAACGTTGTAGAGAGGTTAGTTTACTGGTCCCTACTACAGAGGAGAACGTTGTAGAGAGGTTAGTTTACTAGTCCCTACTACAGAGGAGAACGTTGTAGAGAGGTTAGTTTTACTAGTCCCTACTACAGCGGAGACGTTGTAGAGAGGTTAGTTTACTGGTCCCTACTACAGAGGAGAACGTTGTAGAGAGGGTTAGTTTACTGGTCCCTACTACAGAGGAGAACGTTGTACGAGAGGTTAGTTTACTAGGTCCCTACTACAGAGGAGAACGTTGTAGAGAGGTTAGTTTACTAGTCCCTACTACAGAGGAGAACGTTGTAGAGAGGTTAGTTTACAGGTCCTTACTACAGAGGAGAACGTTGTAGAGAGGTTAGTTTACTGGTCCCTACTACAGAGGAGAACGTTGTAGAGAGGTAGTTTACTAGTCCCTACTACAGAGGATAACGTTGTAGAGAGGTTAGTTTACTAGTCCCCTACTACAGAGGAGAACGTTGTAGAGAGGTTAGTTTACTTGGTCCCTACTACAGAGGAGAACGTTTAGAGAGGTTAGTTTGGGAACCCCCCTATTTAAGAGGGGGAACTTTGGTAGAGAGGTTAGTTTACTGGCCCCGTATTACAGAGGAGAAAATTTTTTGGAGGGGTTAGTTTAGGCCCATACTACAGGGGGAAAAACGTTTAGAGGGGGTTATTTTAACTAGTCCCTACTACAGAGGGGGAATACGTTTTTGGAGAGGTTGGGTTACGGGGCCCTAAAAAGAGGGAACCCCAAAGGTTTAGAGAGGTTATTTTTACGGGTCCCTACTACAGAGGAGAACTTTGGGTTAGAGGGTTTTTTTTAAATGGGGCCCTTTTCAGGGAGAAGGTTTTTAAAAGGGTTGGGGTTTTACTATCCCTACTACAGGGGGAAACTTTGGAGAGGGGTTTAGTTTACTGGCCCTCCCAACAGGGGAAAAAGGGTTTTAGAGGGGGTTAGTTTCTGGTCCCTATACGGGGGGGAAAACGTTGTAGAGAGGTTATTTTACTGGCCCCTTTCTACAGAGGAGAACGTTGTAGAAAAGGTTTTATTTACTAGTCCCCTACTCAAAAGGAGAACTTTTGTAAAAGGGGTTTTGTTTCCCTAGTCCCCCCACAGGGGGGAAAAATTTGTAAAAGGGTTAGTTTACGGGGCCCTTTACAACGGGGAACTTGTTGAGGGGTTTTGTTTTGGGTCCCTCCCAACAGAGGAGAACGTTGTAGAGGGGGTTGTTTACTAGTCCCTACTACAGAGGAGAACGTTGTAAAAGGGGTTTTGGGTTTACTAGCCCCAAATAAAAGGGGAAAAAAAATTTTTGGTAGAGGGTTTTTTACTAGCCCCTATTTCAAGGAAAAACTTGAGAGGGGGTTTTAGTTTCGGTCCTTTTACAGGGGAAAAGAACTTTGGGTAAAAGGGGTTTATTTTAAATGGCCCCTACTACAGAGGAGAACGTTGTAGAGAGGTTAGTTTACTAGTCCTTACTACAGAGAGAACGTTGTAGAGAGGTTAGTGTACTAGTCCCTACTACAGAGGAGAACGTGTAGAGAGGTTAGTTTACTGGTCCCTACTACAGAGGAGAACGTTTAGAGAGGTTTAGTTTACTAGTCCCTACTACAGAGGAGAACGTTGTAGAGAGGTTAGTTTAACTGGTCCCTACTACAGAGGAGAACGTTGTAGAGAGGTTAGTTTAACTGGTCCCTACTACAGAGGAGAACTTTGTAGAGAGGTTAGTTTACTGGTCCCTTCTACAGAGGAGAACGTTGTAGAGAGGTTAGTTTACTAGTCCCTACTACAGAGGAGAACGGAAAGAGGGTTTAGTTTACTGGTCCCTATTTAAAACGGAGAACTTTTAGAGGGGTTTGTTTCTGGTCCCTACTACGAGGGAAATTTGGAGGTTTTTTTTACGGGGCCCCTACTTCGAGGAGAACGTTGTAGAGGGGTTTATTTTACTAGTCCCTACTACAGGGGAGAACTTTTGAAAAAGGGGTTATTTTCTAGTCCTACTAAAAGGGGAGAACGTTGTAAAAGAGGTTTTTTTACAGGCCCTTACTCCCAGGGGGGGGGGGGAAACGTTGTAGAGGGGTTTTGTTTCCCGGTCCCATTTACAGAGGAAAACCTTTTTTTGAGGGGTTTAAATTTTTAAATTGTCCCTACACAGAGGAAAAAACGTTGTAGAGGGTTATTTTAAATAGCCCAACTAAAGGGAAAGAACGTTGTAGAGGGTTATTTTAAAAGGCCCCCTTAACTACAAAAAGGTTGTAGAGGGGTTAGTTTCCTAGTCCCTACTAAAAGGGGGAAAACCCGTTGTAGAGAGGTTATTTACTGGTCCCTATTTCAGGGGAGAAGTTGTAGAGGGGAAATTTTTTCCAGTCCTTAAACAAGGGAACGTTGTAAAAGAGGTTAGTTTACGGGGCCCACTACAAGGTAACGTTTTTAGAGGGGGTTAGTTTACGGGACCCTACTACAAGGGTGAAACCCGTTTTTAAGAGGTTATTTTTACTGGCCCCTACTACAAGGAAACTTTGGTAGAGGGTTGTTTCCAAGACCCAAAACCAAAACAGAGGAGAACTTTTTAGAAAAGGTTAGTTTACGGGGTCCCAACTACAGAGGAAACGTTGTAGAGAGGTTAGTTTACTGGCCCCTTTACTACAGGGAAAGAACGTTGTGGGAGAGGTTAGTTTATGGCCGCTACAAACGGGGAAAAGAACGTTTTTGGGGTTTATTTTTATGGTCCCAATACAGAGGAGAACGTTGGGGGAGTGGGAAATTTTTAAAGGTCCCACTTACAGAGGAGAACGTTAGAGGGGTTTTTTTCGGGGTCCCTAAACAGAGGGAAACTTTGAGAGGGTTGGGGTTTTC